TTTATCACTACCACAGAGAACTCAACTGGGGCTAGTGGGAGGAAGTAACAGGAAGATGAGTTTTGCCTCTTTATAATCCCCCCTCCCTCAAAAAAAAAAAAAAGAGAGAGGTTTGTAGAGGTGAAGACTTTCCCTTCCCTAGAGGTACATATAAGCAGGTTTAGAACAGCATTTTTCAGAGTTACTGATTATTCAAGAACCAGACTGTAGAGGACTGTGAGTGTAATAGGTTGGAGTTTAGTCCCCTTCCGCTTATGAGATTCCATGATTACTTTGTATCTTTGATAGACTTTTCATTTTCTTGGCTGGTCTTTGACCATCTGTCCCCTTAGTTAGAGGCACTATTGCATAAAGGTTAAGAAAGCAAGCACTAGAGCCATGTTTCATAACACTGAGCCCTAGCTCTTCTTTGTACCAGTTGTATGCCCTTAAGCAAATTATATAACTTCTCTGTGCCTCAGTGTTAACATTTCTGTAAAATAGTGATGATGATAATATGTATCTCATAGGATTATTATAAGATTAAATGAGATTCATGAAGCACTTTAGGATAGTACCTGGCACAGTGTTAACACTCTAAAAATTTTAGCTGATTATTATTATTATCTCTATCCCTGTCAGTTGTTTCTACTTAGGGAGCTGGGCTTCTCTGTCTGGTCCAGATAATTTCTCTCTTAACATACCATTTCTGACTCTCTCAGGATGCTTTTGTCTAGAAGGAACAGTAAGCTCATCTCAAATAGCTTAAATGATAAAAGAATTTATGACTTTACATATGAAGAAGTTCAGAGTTAGGGGGATCCAGGCCGACTAATTGCTGTGCTCTGCAGCATCGAGGATCCAGGCTTATTGTCTCTGATTTGCTTGTGTTGGTAGGATGTTGCCATAGTCCAGACGTCATCTGCATATAAGACCACTAATCCACATTCAAGAATATGTTTGCTGATTTTAGAGAGAGAGGGAGACATTGTTGTGAAACATCGATTGGTTGCCTCCCACATGTGCCCTGACCAGGGATCAAACCTGCAACCTTTCCGTGTATGAGATGATGCTCCAACCAACTGATCCACTCAGCCAAGGCAATAACTACCATTTTTTTTCTAGTGGCTTTTTAAAAAATAATAAATTAGGAAACCGTTCTTTGAAGCCACCCACCCAGCAAAGTCATCTCATGTCTTACTGTTGATGAATCACTTGTTCCTTCCCAAACCAGTCAGAAAAAGGAAGAAGAATTACCATGATTGGCCCAACTGTTTAAGATCTCTCTCCCAGGTCTCATGAATATGATCGCATATCCTGATCATGTATCCTTAGAGAAAAAGCAGACACCAGAAGTCAAGGCTAGATTGCCCAGAGTAAGAATTACTTTGTTTTACACAGCTCTTCAAGATGCCAGGGATCTCAGTGGAGATGACTGTCAAAATTCTTGAAAATAGATGCATTAATCACTCTCCGTTTTATGGATGTCTTTAAGTAAAGCTCAGATTTTCTATTTCTCAATGACTGAATGAAACCATGTGGCTCCTTAAAACTTGAGTTGGGCCCTAGCTGCTGTGGCTAGGGCCCAACTAGCCACAGCAGTTGGGTCTGCGAAGTGAAGGGTACATTGAGCGTTGAGCATTGGCCTGCAAAGTGAAGGGTAGCTGGTTTGGATCCCAGTCAGGGCACATGCCTGGGTTGTGGGCCAGGTCCCCAGTTGGAGACTTGCAGGAGGCAGCTGATTGATGTTTCCCTCTCTCTCTTTCTTTCTCCCTTCCCTTCTCTCTAAAAAGTAAATAAATAAAATCTTTTTTTTTAAAAGCAAACAAACTTGAGTTTGAATATGTAACCCTATTTCATATATGATTATTATGAAAAATCATTTTTTGTTTGATTGGGTTTTTTTCCTTAGTGCTTTGACTGAGAAACAGTGCTTAGACATTGTGAAGTTAGTCCGAATGTCCAGATAGTTGAGCCTTTTCTGATCCACATGTAAAGGGCAGATGCAAAGTTGTCTTTCTGATTTGAAGAAATAATACCTAATTGATAATTAAGGCCCATCCTGGATAAAAGATGCAACCAGTAACTTTAAAATTTTCCATATCACCTTCTCTCTTTCTGGGTTTTTTTTTTTTTTTTGGAGATATGATTGGCATAATACAGCTCTGTGTAAGTTTAAGGTATACCACATAATGACACACATACATTGTGAAATGATTACCACAAAACGTTTAGCTAACATGCATCTCCTCATATAGTTACCAAAAATTTTTTCCTTATAATGAGAACTTTTCAGATCTACTTAAATTCTTAACAAATTTCAAGTATACAGTACAGCAATATTAACTATAGTCATTATGTTGTACATTACATCCCTAGTAATTAGCTTTACCTTATAGCTGGAAGTTTGTACCTTTTGACCACTTTCATTCAGTTTCCCACCCCTCATCTTCTCTTTCTGACAGGGAAATTTGTTTGAGGCTATTTAAGCCTAAACAAGAAAAATATTGGTCCACCATGTGACAAAAGAAGTAAACTTAATTTTGTGTGACTCTCTGGCAGATTTAAGATAGAGGTTGAAGCAGTTTATAGCTTGTAGTAGGGTGCTACAGTATAACAGTTGAGACTGTTTATACTGTAAAAGGTATAAGAAATAGTGAAATTATCTGTCCCAGGTGTTTCCCAGGAGAGGCATGCAGGCCCCTCTCAGGAAGTTACAAAAAGGAGCTCTTCTCTGGGGACATGGGGGAGATTGTATCAGGTTGTATCTAAGAACTCTTCCAATTCTGATCATTAATGATGTTTCCTAGCTAAGAAATATTGAGAAGGCATGTACTGAGTTTTATCATATTTCAAACCCAAGAGAATGGAGGCTTGATTTATCCATGGGGGGGGGGACAAGTATATATGTGTATGCAGTTCATATGTACAGCCACTGATCCGTAAAGCTCTGTAGGTTATAACTGTTTATAGAAGCCTCTAAGAACTGAAACAATTAATTTAAAAAGTAGAATATCAGTCATTTTCTTTTGTAGTCAGTTTCTTCCATTACATCTCATCTTTAAATTCAGCTATATGACTGATGGTATGAATGACTGACCTTTTAAAGGGAATTTATGTAGCCATCTGCAAACTAAGTCTCCAGGCAGCTGCTCAAGAGCCACCACAAGGCGAACAAAGCAGTGATGTTGCAGACTGTCTGACTTATGCCAGGATGAGGTTATATTTCCTGTGCTTCTGAAGAGCCTCTGGGTCTTAACCTTTAAACTGATTTGAAGAACAGAAAAAATCTGGTGTGACAGTTTTTTGGTGTTTGTTTTTTTTTTAAGCATTATCGTTCAGCTCATTTCTAAGGCCACATGGAATAGACATGACATTTAGGAGGGTTTTCTGTCTTTTTTTTTTCCAGTCTTATATTTTTAAAGGAGGGGAAGTATTCAGAGTTAAAATACAGTCATTGGCCTGACTGGGTGACCCAGCTGGTTGGAGCATCATCCTCTGCACCAAAAGGTTTCAGGTTAATTCCAGGTCGGGGCACTTACCGGAAGCAACCAGTTGTTTCTCTCTCATATCCATATCTCTCTCTGTCTCTCTCTCTCCACCCCCCTTTCTCCCTCCTTCTCTCCTGTAAAATCAATTAACATATCCTCAGGAGAGGATTAAAAAATAATAATAAATAAAATGCAGTCATTAACCTTGTAAGGTGAAACCTCTTCAAATCCTTGTTGGAGCTAAGAAAGCTAAGCATGTTTGACTTCAGTGGTTGTGGACATGAATCTGTATAGAGCATTAACTTTTGCTTCCCAGTGTGTGCTTGGAGAACTGTGTGGACTTCATTACAGGACTTCCCAGGTAGCAGCAGTGGGTGATGAAGAGCCAGCTACCCCTGCACATCAGAGGCTCTTTACCATTGGAATGCAGTAGATTCACTGAACCCAAATAGTGAAGAGCAAAGCAAAAATTCTCTCTTCCTTCAGGGAGAGACCTAGTCTTTCTGAAGGACAGATGACAAGAGTGCTCCTCTTACTTTTTCAGCTTGCTACTACAGATAAAGGAAAGAATTTAAGATTCTGTAACATTGTTTGATTTTGCTGCCTTTTGATGGGGGAGATGCTTGAACTTGGTAACAATGTTGTATTTTGTGGTAGCTGTGAAAGTTCTTTAGGAAAGAAAAGAGAGTGGTCCTCTGTGGCAGTGAATAGAGCTTTATAATACTATATTTTTCATTCTGGAGAGTCTAGTGAGTTAACTCTTTCAAGTCAAGCTGAAAATGTGTGCATATTTCTATAGGGAACTAGAGTGGGAAATTAGTGCTGAGAGAATTCATACGACATTGCTTTAGAACTGAATTCTGGTGAATCTCAAAATAATTATGTTGTCCTGGATGGGTAGCTCAGTTGGTTAGAGTGTCATCCCAATACACCAAGGTTGCAGGTTTGATCTCCAGTCCAGGCACTTACAAGAAGCAACCAGTGAATACATAAATGAGTAAAACAACAGATAAATGTCTGTCTGTCTGTCTGTCTGCCCTTCCTCTTTCTCTCTAAAAATCAATAAAATAAAAAATACTCAAAATAATTATGCTAAGTAAAAGAATCCAGAGAATATATGATTAAAATTCTAGAAAATACAGGCAAGTATGTAGTGACAGCAGATCAGTGGTTGACTGGGAAAGGTAGGGAAGGAGGAAGGGTTTACAGAGGAGTAGGGGGGATGTTTTTGGGGTGATAAATGTGCTTACTACTTTGGTTGTGGTGATGGTTTCACAGGTGTATGCTTTTGAAACCATTGTAACTCATCAAACTATGCATTTTAAATATATGCAGTTTATTGTATACCAGTTTTACCTCCATAAACCTTTTTTAAAAAGGAAAATAAACATCCAGGGGCAATGTTTATCAAAGGACCCTTGTTTGGGTCACAGGGAGGCTGCTGAAGACTGATATGTGAAATATAAGCCTTGTATGGTGTGTTAAGTATGGATGCATACCTCTTATTTAATGCATTTGATGTTTCTTTAGGAGTCCATAGAGGCTACTATATTCTACTGAAGAAGATGTCTAACAGTAACACTACTCAAGAGACCCTGGAAATAATGAAAGAATCAGAAAAAAAACTGGTAGAAGAATCTGTAAACAAAAACAAATTTATATCTAAGACTCCAAGTAAGGAAGAAATTGAAAAAGAGAGTGAAGATACCAGTTTGCGTCAGGAGACACAGGTAAGAGTTAGACATGCATCATATGTACACTCTTTATACCTGAATGGAAGTGTCATTATAGGTGGCATTGGGGATGTATGGGAAGGTAGTCGCTTATGCAAATACTTGATTATCCCTGAAAACACAACTTCAGCTCTCAAGAAATATCTTCTCCCATTTTTGTCATAGACTCCACAATGAAGTCTAAAGAAGACAGAGTGAAACCCCTAATCCCTTTAGATCTGAATTACACTTGTTCTTGCTACATTTTGATATTTTTTAACTATCAAAAAAATCAGCTATACAAACACATTTAATAAGTCATAGTATAGCTCATAGCATAAACTCTTAAAACTAGAGCTGCCTGGCTTTGCATATAGTGTTAAATCATATCCTGGTTGTGTGAAAGCAGTCAGCATTTTCTGGGTTAGAAATAGTCTCTGAACTTGCCACTTGGTAAATGTGAGAGGAATTTCACTCTTTGGTTGCCATGTTGTTTTCCATCCAGATTCAAATGGCAATGCAGCTATGATGGCATAGATGACGGTCAGCCATGCTTCCTCTTCTTTGGCACCTGTCCAGGCTAGACTCGAAGCCTCATCTAGCTTACCTGTTCCAAATCCTCCTCTTCTCCCGTAGTCACTGCTGGTTTCCGTTGTCACCCTAGCCCAAACCACATAAATCCTTTCCTTCACACCCAGGAGTGAGACTAGTCTTTATTAGATTCTTAGGAATTAGACTGTTTATTTAAAAAGCAGTAGCAACAATATTTTGGAGGGTCTGGAAACTTGAAGCATAATTTCCCTTGACAATTCAATACACCTAGGCCTTGTCTTCTTTAAAGAGTAGAACAGCAACAACATAAAGGGATGAATTAAAATCAAACAGCTCTCTGAAATATTTTGTTCTCTAGCTGCCCACTTTTCTGTCTTTCCTCTTAACAGTTTGCCAGATCTCTGTCCTGGCTGCTTCTCTTTCCATTATCTTTTGCATGTGAGTTGTCATTCCCCACTCATCCCTCCGGAGTTTGTGGAGACAGTCTGCCACTGTCCCATCCATACTTCTAGACTCCACTGGCACGAATAATGAATTTTAAATCTCAGGACAGATATGTGATGAATGTTTAATTATGCGCTGCCATGTTACATAGAAGATAATAATTAAATGAACTTTTCTGTCCAAGTTAACTCTGTTCTCAGGAAACTATTTTAAGTGGTATTCTGAACTCCGGTTGTGTGTACTTCTTGAAGACAGGTAGAAAAGAAAGGATATCTAAAGGTTTTATATGCCTTTTGGACACTCTGTTGCTTTAAAAATGTCTTCACCTATATACACAAATAGGCTGTGTAGGAGGTTGGGCGGGGAACCTGTTTGCCCTGTAACTCCTTTTGTAGCTGCTAGAGCAGGTGAAGCTGCTGCTGCCATCTACTGGAGCTCCTGCTCTTTCTACAAAGTCTTCAGTGTTTTCTGCCACTCTTTCCCCTCTACCATTTCCCAAAAGGTCATGTATCCCTCCAAAAGCACTACAAGTTCTGTTCTTTCTCCTGCCTTCCCTCTGACTCACATCCAGGAAGTCTCCCCAAGAATCTTACTGATGCTGTCAAGGGAGTGCCTGTTATGAACTGAAGGTAGAAAGTTTGTGGAAAGAAGACTTTGATTTTTTGTACTGTGTGAGACATATTCTTAGAATCAGCAGTTGGAGCTCAGAACATCTTTTGCATGGGAACAGTTCTATAAATGCAGGTTCTGAGATTCAGTTTAGAATGGGCAAAGCTTTGACTTAACACATACTGAACTTAGGTGGGTCCTTTAAATAACCAGCTGGGTATGGCCTCCTAGCTGAGCTTTCTGCCTTTAAACCTGTAATCCCTTCTGATTCATCTACCATACTGCTTTAGAAAGATGGTTATGAAATAAAGATCTCATTGTGTTAATTCCCCTCAAACTTTCTGTGTGTCTTACTGCTCTAGGCTAAGTCCCAGATTTGTCAGCATGACATATTGTGACCCAATTTCTTACCTGCCAGTCATCTGCCTCTGGCATCCTATGTTTCAGCATTATGTGATTCCTTGGTCCTGTTATAAATGGGGTCTAAAAAGTTTAGGGACAGCATACTTTTGTACATGCTTTCTCTGTCCAGAGGTCCTCCTTGGTATTCTTTCCCTGGCCACCTCTAGCCCTCAAATCCCCCCTGCCAACAGTTTCATAATACCGATTTATCCTTCAAAACTCAATCTAAATGTGCCTTTCTCCTGGAAGCCTTCCTTGACAACATTACTTACCCATTGCAGGCCTACGTTGTATAATTCTTCAGTTAATGTCTGTCTCCTTTACAGAACTGTAAGCTCCACGAGGCCCAGGGTTAGGTCAGTTTAGGCTTACCATTGTCTTTCTAAGGCCCACTTCAGTTCCTTGCAGGCACTCAGTATTTGTTAATGTATGAATTTGTGAATTGCTAAGTCTGAGTTAGATACTTGCGCTGTGTGTTCCTATAGCACTCCACGAGTACCATCTCTAGTGTACTTAATGTATTGTTATCGCTTCTCAGCCTTTTGGCTAAGATCAAGTTTAGTATCTGTTCCTATCAGTTCAGTGTACTGTATTGTAATTGTCTATTTGTCTGTCTTCTTCAACAGAATTATGAGTTCCTTTTTGACAAACTTTGTGTCTTTTATCTCTGTGTCCTCCAGTAGTTAGCATGGTGTCTGGTAGATGTATTAGGCTTTTAACTGTTTGTTTTAACTGTATGTTTGACTGTTAAATGAAAACTGTCTCTTCTGGGAAAGAAGCAGATCTCTACATACATTGCTTATAGGGTTATAACCTCTTTGAAGGACAATTTAGTAATGTTTTATAAAATTTTTAAATGAACTACAGATATACTTTATTGGTAGGTATACTCAGTGTTGTAGTCATTGAAACATTGTTTATACTAACCAAAGATGAGAAACATCCAAAATGGCGCAATTTAAGGGACTGGTAGAGTAAGTTATGGTACAGCCACACAGTGGGATACCATGTGACCATTACTAAAAACAGTAGATCTTCTATAAAATGATATCCATGAAAAAAAGTTCATGAAAGTGAGGTTTAGAACAGTATGTACAATGTACTTCTATTTGGTTTAAAAAAACTTGTGTGCATGTAACAAGCTTATATGTACAATAAGCTTATTATATATGTATAAAAGATCTCTGGAAAGATGATAAGAAATTCATTATTAGTTGAGGGAGCCAGGTAGCTGGGAAGCAGATGCCCCCATTAATACCTCTTGAATGTTTGTACCGTGTGTTATTGCCTATTTGAAAAAAATAATGAGGAAATACTGCTTCATATTCCTGGGCTATGACTTCCCTTACTGTAACAGATCTTGCCACTGACCAGATCAGCCTCCGTTTCTTATTCTTTATGTTCACCCTCCCGTTTCTCCATTTTGCATTGTAGTTGTCTTGTTCAGTAATAAGTGAACAGAACAAAGGAAAAGGAAATCCTTATCTACCCAGGACCATGCTGGTACCCTGACTCTGTCTTACTTTCCCTCCCCCACACACCAGCCTCTGTTCTCTTCTACCTCAGGGGCAGTGAGTTCCATCCCAAACATCTTAGAAACCCTAAGTACCTCATCCCATATATAACTTTACCCAACCTCTTCCCCAGAGCCCCATTTTGACTTCTCAGCTATTCGGAAACCACATTAATCAATTAGTTGTTTCTTCCCTAATCCCACCTCTGGCCCCCATTCTTCATCTTCCTCAGCTTCTATGCTACTCCTTACCCTCTCTCCTTATTTTCCCTTTGCTCTGAAGGTCTTATCCCTATATTCCATTCCCCCTTCTTTTTATCCCGTCCTGTCTTATATCCCTAACCCAGACAGTCTATAAGAGCCACAACCTGGAGCTTAGAACTGGGAAAATTCTCAGAGGGAGGCAGTTGGCAAGAAGAGTCTTTATTCTATTTCTGCACCCATAGGGACAGCTGTTTTCAGAGTACCTCAAAACTGAGACTCCGAATGCATTGTCCTATAAAGATGTTATTTGTAAGTGATGGTTAGGGATCATATTTTATGTCCACAGGCATCCTAATCAAGACAAGGTTCTATGGTATAATCAACAGTAATTTTTATCAGTCTGTGAAATACGCCAACCAGTCAGTATCTTCCCATTTTTAATCTCCATGGCGAGTGCTGATTTGTCTAAGTGGCCTGTGGTGCCTTCCTTGTCATGGTTGCTAGAGCTGTAGCACAGGGAAATAACCGCACCAAGGGGTCTCATCATAGTTTGGCTGTTGTAATAGTAGTATTACAGTTAGTGCTTTTTCTCTGTAAAGTTGTATTGCTTTTAATTTGTGTTTTTTCCCCACCTTTAATATTTTCTAATCCCCTTCTAACAGAGGCGGACATCCAGCCATGGTCATGCCAGGAAAAGAGCCAAGGTGAGGGCTTTTTCTCTAAAGCTTCCTTTCTGGTGTTATTAGTAATACATTTTACAAATGGATTTACCACTAATATATAGTGTATTTGCATTATACATAGGCAAAGTTTTTTGCCTGCACTTTGTACCCTAGCTGTGAATATGCATACACACAAATACACATACTGAGAGACATGCACGCACACGTTTCCTGTTGTAAGTTCTGGCTGTAAGTTCAGTCACATTCTGTTTCTGATACCTAGAAAGTTGCCCAGCTGGAGCCTCCCACAAAGTCCCAGCAAACTGGTTCTGATTCTACTGCAATGCTAGTTTCTCTGCTCAGCTCTGGCTTCTCCAAGAGAATGGCTGTTATATGAGCCTTACTTTTTTCTCTCAACATTTTCTCCATATGAAATTTTTCCTTTTTTTTCTACTTTCACCAATAACTTTATTGATTTGGCTATTTCCATATAAAGTTTTTTAGATAAATTGTGCCCCATTAGTAGAAACAACTCACCATTTCGGACGTCCTAAAAATACAACCATTTTTTTAAATGTTTTACTTTTTTAGCTTGTGACAGGGAGGAAGAGTTCATTTTTAATCATGGTATGATAAAATTGGCACATAACAGATCATTTTAAGCAGTGTTATCAGGGACTGTGTGTGTGTGCTAGCATATTTATTTTAGTTGGGAAACCATAAAATATTAAACTTTCTTGCAGCGGGAAGAATTATCACCAGAAGTAATAGTTAAGGGTGCCCACCCTTTTCCCCCAGGAAAGTAATGGCAGGATTTGAGAGTGGCCCTGCCATCTTGTTGATTGGGTTGGAAGAAGGCTGCTGTGTGTGGTGCATGAGCTCTGTGCCCTGCCTCACACGGCCTGGTCCGCAGTGGTGGGCTTGGCACTGAAGGTCCCACAGAGGGTGTGCACTGCCATTTCACTTCCACTCAGACTTTTTGAGTTAAGTAAGATGATTACTATCTTGATTTTACAGATGTGAAACCTTGGCTTAATGAGATTGATAAGTTTGACAGAGGACATTTATTAGTAAGTGGCAGAACTAGGATTGAAGTCAGTTCTTCAGACTTGCAAGTTTTTTTCACAATACTGCACTACCTAAAATATATATACCATGTTTTGTGCTTTTGTATTCACTGTAAACATTGATTTTACTGTAAGAACTCAGTAAATGTTTTTATAAGTAGATTTCTTATGAGTCACTCTATAATTTTTAGCTTTGGAGATCCCTAGGAGAACAGTGGTTTGCAAAGTGGATTTCAGATCTTTTGGGGGATTCTCCAGTCAACACAAGTAAACCAAATGGATTCACTTTTGGTGAATTCTCTCAGTTGTTAGAATGTTTTCTGTCTTTCTCTTTACTCTATTTTTAGATACTTCTTTCTATCTTTACCACCTAAGGTTTAGAGTCATCTAGCATCTATTGTCTACTATATGCTAGGTGCTATTTATGGTACAAATGTTTACATACTTTCTGTCATCTAATTCTTACAACAGCCCTTTAACTATTTTTATCCCAGTTTTATTGAAAAACGAGACCCAGAGAGACCAAGTAATTTGCTCAAGGTCTCATAGCTCATAAACAAAAGCCAGGAGTTGAAGCTAGGACTTCTGGCTCTTAAATCCAGTATCTTTGTGCTAAGATTTACTGCTGTGTATTTAATAAACTTCTGAGTCTGAAATTGGAGCACTGGGCTAGAGAGAGAGAAAGAAGAGCCAAGAGAAGTGGTTTTCCTATCATCTGTCTAAAGTAGCTATTTAGTTTTTATATGTCTACTATTATAAGCAGGGGAATTATCTTTCTTTTGCCGCAGGGGCGTGAATTATCTTTAAGTGAATAAGGAACTAGCAAGTAGGACCTGTTTTTTAAAAAGCCCCATTTAATAGAAGCAGCAACTAGAGCCAAAGAGGATGTGCACCATTCAGCCAAAAGCTTTCTGAATGTCTACCAAGGGAATATATATGTTGTTTGTTTTTTCTCAGTCTAATTCCAAGCTCAAGTTGGTACGTAGCCTGGCAGTGTGTGAGGAGTCCTCTGCCCCATTTGCTGATGGGCCACTAGAAACCCAGGTAGGTCCTTTATAAGAGTAAGTGTAGCTTCTGAGTTTGGCACTTGGTTGGTAATCTGTAGTAGAGCACCCACAATGTCACATTAGGCTTGGAAATCAGGGTAGAAGGAGCTTTAAAACAAGCCATTACAGTAAAGTATGGCCTGGGTGAGAGCAGGAGTATAGGTCTTCACACTTGGACCACCCATGATGATGCAGACAAGGAGATTCCAGAGCTGGATCTTATTTTCCCACCCACATCCTTTTTCTCTGGTGGTTAGAACCATGTCCATCCAATTTCTACACCAAGAACAGCCAGTGTAACTTGAGCTGCCCATATAATATAAGGCTGTGGTTGTCAGTGGAAAAGGCTTGGCCTTTTACCCTTTTGGTAGAACAAAAGCTGAAGCAATTTAATTTAAAAAATACTCTCTTCTGTAAGAGAATGTTGCTACCCCAAGATTTATCTTCTTTGAAATTTCAAGGGAGCTATGGGAGAGTTAAAACCCATTTCCCCTTTGATTATATTTCTCCCTACCCTTATCCAAGGATATAATTCAATTGCACATCAGCTGCCCCTCTGACAAAGAGGAAGAAAAGTCCACAAAGGATGTCCCGGAAAAGGAAGACAAGGACAAAAACAGAGAAAAGGTCCCAAGGAAGATGCTGTCTCGAGGTGAGGACTCTCCCTCCATTCTCATCTGTCCTAGGGCTTTGTTCAGCAGTGCCCTTTCCTTCCATTGCGAAGTCTGGCACCTGCCGGCCTAACTGGCCCAACAGTTCATTGTATCCTACTTACTTCATGGTTGCTTGGGACGGTGCCTGACAAGGTTACTTTTGGGACAGTTACTTTCTTTACTGCTCTAGCTAACTCTGTCATATGGGGCTCATATGCCACAGATAGCTATTCCATTAACATTGGTGCTACCATGGGAGGACATTGTATTCAATTCTGATTTTATTTTTGCCCTGGAATAAACAGTGACATGGATCATCACTGGTTGCAGCTCTTCCAGATACCATTTATATTTTGGGATGCTTGACGTAATTTTTTTAACAATGCAGATTTGCATATTAATCTCTCTTTGGTTTTAAACTCTTGGGCTGATAGCAAAAAGACATGGTCCATAAAAATGATACTCGAGCCCTGGCTGGGTAGCTCAGTTGTTTGGAACATCATCCTGATAACACTAGGGTTGCGGGTTCAGTCCCTGGTCAAGGCACATACAAGAATCAACCATTGAATGCATAAATAAATGAAACAACGAATTGATATTTTTCTCTTTCTCTTTCTTCCTTTTCTCTCTTTTTAAAAATCAATTTAAATTTTTTTCTTTTTTTAAATTTTTTATCGTTTATTCTGTTACAGTTGTCCCAATTTTTTTTCCATTTTGCCCCCCCCACCCAGCCCACTCATCTAGCCAGTAGTCAGTCCCATCTCTGCTGTCCATGTCCATGTGTTATTTATACATGTTCTTTAAAAATGTTTTTAATGTGTAAAAAAAAATTATAGTTGAGAGGAAAAGGGCAACCTTGAGATTAAAATTTTATAAATGAATACAAATTATCATCTAAATAGTCAACATTTGAGCTTATTTGCTGAGATTCTGGAAAATTCAGCCTTGACTCTCCTTACCTGGAACTTATTTTCCTTAACTGGAATAAAAGCAGCCTTGTTTTGGTTAGGGCATTCAGTGATACTTATCAATGGTAAGGTGGTTTTGCACTATAATTCTGATGCAACACTGTCACTCATAATCTACTTTCTATAATTGTCATGAGTAATTTTGGGGGGCTGGTAAATCAAAGTTGTTCTGGATTTTAAGCTGAAACCCCTGAAGTTTGATTCTGCTTTCCTGTTCTCACTCTCCTGATCAGTTTGTGGGTTTCTTCTTAAGATTAGATAATCATGCAAGACAGTTTTATTTATTTTAAATTTCTCTTGTTGTGGTGGTTTTAGACTCCAGCCAAGAATATACGGACTCCACTGGAATAGACCTACATGAATTTCTTGTAAATACACTGAAAAAGAACCCAAGGTAATAACATGATTTGATGGAAGGGGGAAAAGGGCCTGTGGCCAGAAGGATGTCCAAGAGACCAAATAGCTTCTCAGAATTTTTCCATTAGAATCTAGGATACCCATTCCCACCCCCCACCATTCCTCTTCAGTGCAGTTTCATATTCTGTGGGGGATTCAAAATACCCTCAAACTGAGGCTTCAGTTTTCAAAAGAATTGAGAAAAAATCTGTAGAAGAAGAATGCAGAGACAAAGAAATATGTGGCTTGGGAGTACAATTAAAAAGCACAGAAGAAAACAATTGATTTGTATATAAGCTAAATCATAATATTTTTAAAATTCTATAAATAATCATAGAATGTAGAATAATGACTAGATTTCTAAGTATTAAGTATGTGTTTATATGAATATGACTACCAACAGAATTAGGTTTCTGATAAAGGTAACGAAATGCACAGTTAGCAGGGTCTGCAAAATGCGTGCTTGATTGTTTTAGAAAGGCCAGTGAGGTCCGCTGTTGGGGCTTGGCTCTGTCTCTCCCTTCGGTTTCTGTAGTGAGCAGGTTGCGTTCTCAGTCCTCGCTCCAAATGTCTATGGGAGGCTGCTTTTTGTTTTGTTTTCATCTTTTCTAAACAGGGACAGAATGATGCTGCTAAAATTAGAACAGGAGATTCTGGAATTTATTAATGACAACAAGTAAGTTACTTAAATGAAATTCAAATTTAGAGATGGGAGGGGCACCAAAAGAAATTTAGGTACAATTTTAGGATATCCCTCTTTTGACTTTTCCTTGAAGTCTGAATTTTGAAGTAATTATTCACTGGAAACCAAAAGCAGTTGGGGGAAAGTAATTAGAATGGATTAAAAAATATGTGCAGCCCGTGGGCTACAAACCAAAGCATCGCAGGTTCGATTCCCAGTCAGGGCACATGCCTGGGTTGCAGGCCACAGCCCCCAGCAACCGCACATTGATGTTTCTCTCTCTCTTTTTCCCTCTCTTCCCTCTCTAAAAATAAATAAATAAAATTTTTTTTAAAGTTTAAAAAAAGAGAAAAAAACTGTTTACATTTAAAAAGTATATGTGCAAAAGTCAAGTGAGATGTTTAAGTTATTACATAGACTTCAGTTGAAAGAATGTATATCTTTTCAACAGTTAGCCCTTGTCCCATATTTTATTATTCTTGAATTTCTCCCTTCTTTCTTTGTCGACTGTCATCCAGGTAGATGAGACCTAGACTTAAGGAGTAGTCTTAATGAGGATAGTAGGTTAGAATGATCTACAAATTACTTAGCTAAAGAAGCTGAGAGAACCTTTTTGGTTCCCAGTGAGTAAATGTTGAATATCTTTCTTATAGTATGTCTATTTCTTATAAGAAATACCCCACTTTAGATACTTTTTTAAACAATTACAATTCCCCATTTATCCTTATTTTGCTTTTTTTCCCCTGGCTTTCCCTTCAGTAACCAGTTCAAGAAGTTCCCTCAAATGACCTCATATCATCGGATGCTCTTACACCGGGTAGCTGCCTATTTCGGGATGGACCACAATGTTGATCAAACTGGAAAAGCTGTCATCATCAATAAAACCAGTAACACAAGAATGTAAGGGAGGGAACCACAGACTGGGAAGACTTTCCTAGGATGGCTTCTGGGGTGGGAGAGGAAGGTTGTAGGATCAAGATTTCCCTTTCTGGGGAGGGGTGGTAGGGAGGGGGCTATATTATCAGTTCCTCCTCTTTCCTCACTCCAGTGAGGCCTTGGAATTAGATTCCAGAGGCCCTGGTGTTTTATGAAGAATGGCTCCTGGCCTCTCTTCACCTTTACTGATAGGACAGATGTAACGTTGGAGGAAAACAAGTTATAGATGTATGAAGAACAGACCCTGAGGATTTCATTAAAACCTTCATGTGACTTTTTGATGCCTGATTATAGAAATCCCCTGAACAGGAGTTGGGGAATTTGAAAGAGCTGTACTAGAAGGTCTGCATCCTAACAAAAGAGTTTTTTCCCTCCCTTCCACATTTCTCTACCAATCCCAGCCCTGAACAGAGGTTCTCAGAACATATAAAGGATGAGAAGAATACAGAATTTCAACAGAGATTCATTCTCAAGAGAGATGATGCCAGTATGGACCGAGATGATAACCAGGTAAAGATTGGAAAGGGGTGGGTGTATAGAGAGGTTGCAGTAAGAGAAACTGGGAGGGCAGAAGAATTTTTGTGGGATGGTGAAAACTCGAAATGTCTTAGTATGGAAAAATACACTGAGCTATACTAAGTTGGCTTTGGCTTAATGTTGAGGGTCGACTACACTTGCTGAGCTGAATGCCACCCTTTTAGCCCCAGAGAGACATGGTGCTGAGGTTTGCTGGGTTTTCTCATTTGGCCTGGAACTCTCTGGTTTTGCCACTGACTTCTAATTCCATGTCATTTAGGGACAAAGCAAAGTCCCTTCCTGCTTCAGCTTTGATTGAGCTGATGGCTTTATTCCTTTTTTCTTTACTAGTTAGGGATTTCTTTGGGAACCACCCAAAACTACTTTATCCTACTTCCATTCTTCTCCTAGTTCAGGGCTGGCCTTGTACTGGCAAAGTCGTGATCTGATTTGCCCACTTATAAAGGTGTTTTTGATCCCTTTCTGCAAATTCTCTTCCCAAGTCCTTCTACCAAGGTGAGTGAGTTCATTTGACTTTTGATGCTGGGAACCACAGATGGTATCCCCTTTTTGATACACTCCTGTGGGAATGAGAAGTGACCAGTCTGCCCCATCCTTTCATGTATGGGCCTGGCTGTTTCCCTGACTTTGAGCCTGCACTTTAGATAGTAAGTGATTATTTGGGGGTTAGTTTTCTAGCCACTTAACAGGGTTTAGACTGAGTCTGCTTCTGCTTGGCCTCCAAAGGAGGTTAGGTGGAGAACCAAGATTAAAGTTTGAAGAGCATGGTTGGGTAGCACCAATTTGAGTCTTCCCGATTAATGATTATATCTTACCTCTAGAGTCAAAATTAGTTTCCTTGGGATATCATATATTCTTGAGAACAGGACTTTTCCTGCTTGTTACAGAATTTGAAGAAGTCCTTTTGAGAAAAGTGCCATTATCTGCTGTGGACAAACTCATTGGGTCTGATTGAAAACAATGAGATACACAAAAAGGCAAAATTTTAAGAAACAAGAAAGCCTTTCCATCCTGATGCCCTTCTCTCCATTTTCCCAAACCCCTTGTTCTGTGGATCAGGAATTATTCAGGCCTCAAGGCACATTGAAACGGTGTGGAATCTGTCCCTGTTGTAAACTTTTCATCTCTCAGCTTCAGGCTTTATCCATACTAGGTTAAGCTCTATATACTTTCTGTCTGTGATATTAATAATAGACACAGTAATTACTTTTTTATTGAGTGTGTTTCCTGACCTAGACTCTTTTCCTAACACATTTTGTACATTATCTCTTAATCTTCTCCACAACCCAGTGTAGATGGGGGGTTATTAGCCCCCCTTTAGATGTGGGAAATCTGAGGCTAAGAGATGTTATTTGCCTGAAGTGACATTACTCAGAGGTGGCAGAGCTGAGTTCCCGCCTGACCTCAGAGCCCATTATAATCTTTCTACTCTGCCACTGGTGTGCCAGTGCTAGGATCTGAGGACAGTATAGCACTATAAGGTCCTGTGCCTTGGAATGGGATATGTAAAAGGACATACAGTAGAACTTAGGCTCTTAAGCTAGTGAGAAGTAAGTCTAGTCAAAAGTTGATACTTTGAAAGTTATGCCTAACTCTGGTGAAATTAGGAAAATCAGCCTAGAGTAGCAGTCTCCCTGGTTGCTTCATATGAAGCTTTCAAAGCCTCTGGACTGAAGGTCAGAATCTTTTTATAACCTGACAACATTCATTTGATGGTTACCTACCTCAGAGTTCCTTGGCTTCAAGAGCAGTATAGAAAAAGACACTATAACACCCTACCCAGGATAGTGCTCGCAACTCACAGGCCAAGAGAGGAAAAGACAGCATTGGAGAGTTGGGAGGTAGACTAGCCAGTGGGGTGATCTGCTCAGCTGTCCCCTCTAGTCACCTCACTATATCTGTCAGAGAATGTAAGGCTCTCTGTCCTCCATTCCCTTCTTTTCTCTTCCTGTCACTCTCTTGCCTCCCTCCATTGTACCTTATTTGTCTGTTCCTTTCTCTGTCCATCCTTCTTTCTATTCTGTTCTGTTCTTTCTCTTTACCTCTTTGTGTTGCTCTGTTCGCTTTCTTTATTTCTGTAATTTCTCTCTCCCTCCCTCCAAGAGCTATAGTTACGATGAGAAAGAAATTCTTAAGCATTGAGTTTAGCTTCACCCTTGGGATTTTATTTCCAAGGCCCTCTTTGCTGAGCTGTGTGTGACTTGGATCTTCAGGCCATTGCATTCATTCATGACTAAAGAAGGGATAGTGTTAGGTGCTAGATCCTCGAAACTCTTCTTTACATTCAATTCTGCTAAATATCTGTTTCTTCTCCCTCTCTTTCTCCTTTCCCTTGTGTTCCCTTCAGAGCAGTGTTGTTTATTCCCTCAGCTATTCTTTTGATCCTTACTGATTGGAGAGTACTGATTACTATAAGGAAGCAACCCAGTCCTCATAAATAGTTGTTGTTCTTGATCCTCTGGGGATGGGGGTTGGGAGATGGAGAGGCCCCAACTATCCAGAAAACCTGATCTCCCAAACTGCATGGTCAGATGTACCCAGTGAAACCTGTTCAACACTGGAAATTTTATTTCTTTTTTTTTTCCCATTTTTTTTTATGGCAACTATAAACTCTCCCGGTTTCTCTTCCTTGCTGGTGTGCAGTGAGCTTGCAGTACGAGGAGAACTTAACTAGCTTAATTCTGCTCATCGATCTAGATCAGAGTTCCATTGCAGGATGGAAGGAGGAGCAAGTCAATAGAAGAGAGAGAGGAGGAATATCAAAGGGTCCGAGAGAGAATATTTGCCCGAGAGGTAAGTGTAGCTTCTGAGAGTTGTCAGCCCATAGCTTTTAGCTCTTAATCTTTGGAACTGTGAATGGAATGAACCCTCCGTAAATGTGTTGTTTTGTGTTTGTTTGTTTGTTTTTTTTTAACCAAAATCAGCCAGCTCCAGATTTGATCTCTAAAATTAAATGTGTCTTATTGGGATGCTGCAGATTTTTATTTGTATTATTTTTATTACATTCTGTAGTACGGAATATAAAGAGAACAAATGGAGTGACTGAATTTGGTGGAGATGAGTAGATGGAAGATAGAAATGGTTTTGGCAGGGCTTATGGAAGGGTTCTAAATCTTGCCTGTCAAACCCTTCTCCCACTTACCCTCTTTCACTTCCACTATTCATTCTAGGCATCTTTGCTTCTAAGTGGAAGGCTCAGTGTCCACACAGCCTGTACATTCCTCTTGTTTGGCCAGCCTCGTTTTTAGGATATGTCGGTGATTGTTAGAACACAGGTCTGGCATCCATTCTGTGAGCTCCACATTCCATATGCACAGAAGGTACCACTCACTAGTCCCTCCAGTCTCTGCCTGAACAGAAAGTCTCTTTCTTCCTATATTTCTTAACTTGCTTCTTAGAATAGGACTGGCTCCTTGGGCCAAAAGCCAACATGAATCATTGCAGGCAACTTTATTCTGAAAAATTGTGGGCCATATCAAATATATTTGATACCCCTGTCTGTATCTAGTGGCCTTTGCCTACCAGACTGAAGAGAAATATAGCAGAAATTCAGGAAAGGCTGTGGATAGGCAAGAGAGAAACAAATCTCCAGAAAATGAAGGATCCAGATAGCAGCACCATCTTATAGTCAAATTAGGAAACAAAAGAGGAAAAGCCAGCTCCCCTTTATTGTCAAAAGATGGCCAGTTTTAATCCACATACTTTGATGGACAACACTCTCCACTCTCCCCTCCGTCAGGAAGATTGTGCACTCATCATCACCTAGCTCAGAAAAACACTGTCTCTGACTTCAAGAAAACTGACCTACTCTGTGAACTTGTTCCCCTGTCTCAGGACACCCAAGTGTTCTAAGGATCCTCACTGGGGACAGATATATGACAAACCTTCTGGCCCAAAGTCCAAAAAGAAGGAATCTTCTTACCATCTGTTACATTCTGAGTCAGGAAAATCAGTCCTCTAATTATACAATCAGGATAATTGGATAACCCACCAAAGAGGTTCTCTAACCTTTACTTACACACCAGTTGCGTGGAATGAGAGGAGAGAGGTCATTTGTACATGGCTGTAGCCACCATGTACAATTCAGTGGTGACCCTGAATTGCAGACAGAGCAGGTTAATGGATGATAATAGCAAAAACTTATCAGACACTCTTCTTAGCACTTCACATAAGTTATTTAATCCTCATTCTAGTCTTATGAGGTAGATTATATTATTTCCCTCATTTTATAAATGTGGGACCGAAGCAGAGACAGGTTAAGTAATCTAAAATCACACCACTAGTTAAAGAGCTGGTGTTTTAATTCAGTTAGTCTGGCTCCTGAGTCCATGCTCTGAACCCCTAAAGTAAACTGCCTCTCAATAGCTTGCTCTTCTCTAAACTCTTTGGCTTAAGAAGTACCAGTGACATCAGAGTATAGCAATCTGTGATGTGCACCCCTGCTTCACTGACACGTGGAAAATGACTGTCCTGCCATGCCAGCCATTAGCAAAGCCACAGATATTCTGAAAGTACAAGCAACTTCTAATATATTGGGGCTAATTTTAACAACACTGAAATATGTCTACAACCATAACAGAGTCAGAGTTAGCTCTCCTCTCCTTTTTTTCTCCTGATGTTTAGTCTTTCACGCCTCTACTAGTATGCATATTCTTTATTAAATCCTTGCGGATTTATCACTTCCAGCACTTCGTATATCTTGCTGTGGTAGAGGCATCAGGAATTCCAGAAGTTCTGGACAAGTGAAAAAGGCCAAAGCCCACCATACTACAAAGATTCCCCGTGTGGAGAGGAACCTGGCCAGTCAAAGGGAGATGATTAAGGGTGGAGTTGTAGGTTGGGACAGAGAGGAAGAAGACGCAGTGCAAACAGAAAGGGAAGTGGCAAAAAGGGTGTTTGGATGGAAATGCTAGTGCTGCAGCCTTCTCTGGAGCCTGAGCTGTATGTTGGGGAAACTGCCCCCATACAGGCTCTGCTCTGTGTGGAGCCCACCCTGCTCAGCAGATGGACACTTTTGGTACCTTTTTCTAAGGCATGGGAGTCCGCCAGAATGCTTACCTCACTCAGCTCAGTGGCTTTGTCAGGAAATGATCCCCAAAAGGAATGTTTCGGGCTTTTAATTTTCTCATTTTTTTAGGCTTTAAAAAGTACCTGCTTCCCCAATTTCTTACTCTCCTTGGGTCTCAGGTCAGAATGCCTTTCATTTTGGCCAGTGTAGAGGGCAGAAATGGAATAATCATTGAGGATGATTTCCAAGACAACTAAATTTCTTTCTCTTATCTACCTTTTCCCTTTCTTTGAACACACTCTTTACTTTAGTGCACCAGTTATGTTAAGTTTACCTCTAAGAGAGAATAAATTGAGAGCTTAAAAAGGAAATGATATAGGTTAATCACTTTCTTCTTCCTCCTTTCCTTCTAACTTTATCAACCTCTCTTTTTAAAAATTCTGAGAAGGCTAAAAATGCTTAATGCTCTATCCCGTTAAAGGTGAGAAGTCAGGTTGGGTGTGTGGGTGTGGGTCATCCTGTCCCTGCTCCCTCTCTCCCTGTTGGGGGGTGAGCTTGGTTTGAGGACCTTGGGTATTCATAGCATCATGGACACCCTTTTCGGTTATGCCATGCTGTTTTCTTATAAGTTATTTTCCGTTTTCTCCCCCTCACCTAGACTGGCCAGAACGGATATCTAAATGACATCAGGTTAGTACCACCTAGCATGTTCCCTGCTTCTCATTGAGCTTTGTCAGTGAGGTTAATATAATCCTGTAATGATGCTTTTCTTTGATGTTAACCAACAGACTCTCCAAAGAAGCCTTTTCTTCTAGCTCTCACAAGAGAAGGCAGATTTTTAGGTACTTCTGTGTAATCTTTATCTCTCCTTGTTTTGTTTTGTTTCGTTTTTTTAATTGTTTTGTTTTGCTGTAATCTTTTCAGCGGAGTGAGTTTGCTCCATGCATGGCTGCTTGTGGAATAAATCAGTCTGTGGTTTTTGCAACATTGGATATTTTTCCTCATTAAGACAAAGGCTTCTGTTCAGTGACTTTATTTTTATTGTTGCCGATTTCATTTTAAGTTCTAGATAGGTGGTGAAGGGGACCAAATAGTTATATGGGATAGGTACAGTTTCTTCCCAGAAATTTGCTAGAACTGGGCATTTTTGGAGGATTTCAACATACTAAGGTAAAAGAATGGGTATCTTCTAAGCTACCTTTTCTGAATCTGTGGGAAGATGTGAAGAGCTTATCCCTGACCCAGCATAGGGAATGTTTTGTGTCTTTAAGAAAGAATAATACAAACATATGTGTAAAAACATACAAACACCTCTCTTTGTCATTTTCTCTTTGAAACATTGTAATTGGTAAGATAACCCATTTCTGAGGCGCTACAAGGACCTCAGAAAGGCTTTGTCTGCCTTAGACCACCTTTACAGCATGTCCTTCACATCATTGCCCATGATGAAAGTTGCTGTATTAACTTCTCCAGTGCTGAATACTCTCCATTCAAAGGAGTCAGGAGAGCGTCCCTTTTATTGTCTCTCCATTCCACCCCAGCAGGTTACACAAGGTGGTGGTGAGAGAGACACTACTTTAAGACCTGTCCTGGCACCAACTCATTTTAAGTATGTTCTTCCCATTTACTCGAAGGAAACTATAGAGCACAGAAAACCTGAGTATTTAATGCCAGAATTCAGGTCTAACCCTTTTCAAAGAGCTGCTCTTGTTGAATCCTAAGCTTGATAGGATCCGACTAACTCAGATTAGTTAGAGCTGTCATCCCCAGTATTTCAGTTGTCCCTTCCCTGTTGTCCTTTGTAAAGCTAGTCACACCATCTGCAGATTGGAATAGAGAGATTTTCCATTCTTGGGATGGAGGATTTCTCTCCCTTTCCATATCTTTTCCTAGACTCTCCTACCCTGAGGTCCATCAGAAAGCCTTAAGGGGGCAGAGGGTGCTCTGCGCTGGTGGTGGTGATCAAGATAGAGTCCCCTTTGTTAAAAAAAAATTAATTCCTGTTTCATTTTGTATAGTTCAGAGTCAAAAATCATCCCAGAATACCTATAATAAGGAGTTTTAAACTAGCTTCTATGTGTGACTTCATGCATAGTGCTTTACAATTGCTAAAGTATACTGTGTCTAATTCAGTCCTGATTTGGTAAACTGGTTTAAATGTAAGAAAACAAAAGCAGAGAGATTAAGTGGCCAACCCAAGTTTTTAGGGTTATTAGTGGCAAAACTAGGACTGACTCTTTTTCCAGTGTACTTTTCATCATACCACACCAGCTGTCTACAAACATCATCCCTTCCTATCTGAGTAGTGTTCCATTCAGAGCCCTAATTCAGGTTTGCTGTGGAGCATCAAACTATATCAAACTATGCAGATAATATCTTGAAGGATCTAGTGAGCAGGTGCAGCCCTCTCCTATCCAGACTTCTTTTATGTTGCTGCTTTCTATACTGAGTTTTGATTAAAGATCTAGATCATTTAAATGCAGTTCCATGAACTCTTAAGGGGGTATTTCTTTTTCTATTTGGGTACTAGTCCAGAACTCTAATGATTAGAAGATGATCTTCTTTAACTGCTTTATACCTTTGTTCCCAAGTTTGTGAAACAAATACTGGTATACCAGATTTACTTATCCACAATTGGCAATAACTGTGGCAACTTCCCCATTCTTTGAAAGATTCTACTCCACTGATAAAAAAGCCACAATGAGTGTTCCTGATGTTTGTTGCCACCTCTTCCACAAACCTCTCTACCCACTCCCTGGATGCAATAAACTGAACTTTTGGCAACACTAAATCTACTTGTAAAAGCTAAGTCAGCTCTGATTTCACAGGAGTATGAGTGTGAATGTTCTCTGTCCTTCACCCCCCTCTCTCTAACACACACAACCCAATCCAGTGCTCAGAAATGAGTTTGGTAGTTTTCCCTAACTGTCTTATTTTTAGTGAAGTGGAAAGACATGACCAGAGATTGGGTTTAGTTGTAAGGAAGGAAAACTGATCTTTTTCCTGGCCAAGACTCAACTCAGATTCTCTAACTCTCAGGTTAGTCAGAAGATCATCAGACAAGCCACATTGTGAGCACTTGGCCATCACTCTCTTAGGGGAGGGAACTAATGAGTACAGAAGTGCTGCCACTGCGGCCCAAGCTTCCTGGGTATTTGGTTTAAAGTTGATTCATTCACTGTCCTCTGGTAGAAAGAAAAAGAAAATAGGAGAATTGTCCTAATACATACTGCAGTATTTGATTTAGGTATAAAAGGCCATTAGGACTTTCTGCAGAATTCAAGCTCTATTGTCTGATAAGCAGCCTCATCCATTGCCAGTGCTATATCCCATTATTCCCACAAATACACACACATCTTCATTGAGTCCTCTCAGCAGACTTGCCTTTGTCCATTGAGACAGAGCTATTGGCTCTCTCTTGGAGGCTGGTTCTGTTCCTGGAGACCCCCTCATTTATACTTCTTTCTTGTTTCCCATTTTACTTTGACATCCCCAAGAAAAGGGGGTAAAGTTTTGGGGAACCAGGAATATTTTCTAGTCCTCTATTCTAAATATATAGAGAAGTTTTGAGGTTCCATATAAATCTACATGGGATTTGGAGAGGAATTAGCATGTTCCTACCCAGCTGTGCCTGTGTGTTGTTAGCCCACCATGATTGGCTTGGCTAAAAACTAAAATAGTTACCCTAGCAAAGATTTTGCCCATCTTTTCTGCAGTATCTTTGGAGCAGATATTCTAAAAGAAAGGTATTTTCTTTAATATTACTCCCTTAAGAAAAATACCTTATATATTAGAATAATTCTGAGCCTAGTGTCTTTGAAGCTAAGAGGATTGGGATGGGTTTTCTATTTGCTTTAGGTAGAATGGTGGTGAAAAAGAGGGAGTCTGAGCTGCTGTGAGTTTTGCTTAATTGTTCTCCAGTATATACACAACATCTTTGTAATTGTTGACATTTGGTTTCCTTAGGTCATCAGTTGTTGGGAGTGGGCGATGTGAAAGGAAAATCTCTGATTCTTGGTTGCTTATTAAGCAGCAGTAAGAGCTCATCAAGACTTAGGGCTTTCAAGCTAATGCTGTCTACCTTGAGTATAGCAATTTATAGACACAGGCAGTGATTAATAGCATCAGGACAACCCTGATATTTCTAGAGCAATATAAGAGAAGACGAATCCCTTTTCTCCATAGTCCTGTACCTTGCCTAGGGCAATAGGGCTATTAATATGGAGGTACCTAGGCACAGTCAGCCTCCTGCTGCTTGCCATCCTGAGTCCCAAGGGCATATTTGCTTGATCATGTGGAGGACTTCAGTCCTTAGAGACCCTGGAACCAGTTGTTCCCAGATACCAACAGAATATCCACAGAATAGGTTAGGTCAATTCTAGACTATGACATTGAGTTTTCCAGAGTGCCCCTTTAGTGCACCATACTCCTCTTCCCACCCTTGGAACAGTGGTCAGAAGAAACACCTCTGCTGGCTTAGGCATGTTATGTAGAAGACCTGTTGTGGGATTTATCCCTGTCATGGGCTACTCTTGGCTTCTGGCACTAGTATTTCCCAGGAGTCCTTTTGTTTTAGGAACTTCCAGAAAGAGCTGGTATGCCTCTCCGCTCTCCACTATTTCCTGCATGTGTGGGGTCCCTGCAGTGGGAGGTTGGGGGAAGAGACCACAGCCAATCTCAGCATCATGTGTGTGGTTTCCCATCCACCTCTGGTCTGACATATTAAATTAGTTGCCAGTACACTGTCTTCCAGATTTGCCCCTGTGCTCTTTGTTACTATAGTGGATATTGTTCTGTCTGCTCTCATCAATTCTTGGTGGGCCAGCCAACTAACAAGAAGTTAGTGTCCATCCTCACCCCTTCTTTGTTATTGAAAGAACAGAAATGAACTCTCTCCTAGCCCTTCTGCAGAAGTGGTAGGTGGGAGGTGCCCTGACCACTGTGGTCTCTGCAGGGGGAACCGTGAGGGACTAAGCCGCACCTCAAGCAGCCGCCAGAGCAGCACAGACAGCGAACTCAAATCCCTGGAGCCAAGGCCTTGGAGCAGCACAGACTCTGACGGATCCGTTCGGAGTATGCGGCCCCCTGTTACCAAAGCCAGCAGTTTCAGCGGAATCTCTATCCTCACCCGGGGTGACAGCATCGGGAACAATAAAAGTGGCAGTGCAGGAAGGATCTCCAGGCCAGGTACTACAGTTTCTCGCCCTTTGTGTCATGCCCATCATTTCTTGCTTGTCTTCTATAAAATATCACTGATACTTGCCCTGGCTGGTGGTTGGAATGCTGTCCCGTATACCAAAATGTTGCATGTTTGATCCCCGATCAGGGCACATACTTAGGTTGCTGGTTCAGTCCCCAGTCGGGGTGCATATAGGAGACAACAAATTGATGTTTCTCTCTCACATTAATATTTCTCTCTCCCTGACCCTTCCTTTCTCTAAAGTCAATAAACTTATTTTAAAAATAATAAATAATAAATATCACTGATACTTACTTTTAACAAAACACTTGGCTCAATATTATGTCTTAGAAACCTAATATAGCCAAATGAGGGGAAATTTTATTTCTTGAATGAATCCATTCTCCTTTGGAGTCCCCTCTCTGATTTTCTTTCAAACCTACTTTCCTAATTGAAAAACACTGACTGGGATTAGGTTATTTTATCTGATTTCTAATTGAGGTGGGCCATCCCTACCAGCCCAAGTTCAGGTTACATACTGAGATGAGAATGATAGCTGCTTTTATTCTGTGGCATCTTTAGAGTTTAACTATTTGTAATTCGCTGGCAGCAGCCAGTAAGCTAGAACTCTGAGAGATACTGCTGTGACTGCTTCTCTGGAGCTCAGTCACTGAGAAATAGCTTGTGTTTCACATGCCAGCCCTGTAAACCACTTCTTAGCTCTTCTGATCTGCTGTGTATCCTTCTCCATCTATTCCTATTGCACTGTTAGCAGAGAGATATTTAGTTCTTTATGCCCAATGGACCTTTGTTTTACCACTCTCCTGCCTATGAAGAATTGCTTGATTCTCATCCCAGGAGTTCTTTAGGTCTTATCCTCAGAAGATATCAGTAATGGTGAAGTGCCCTGGCTGGGTAGCTCAGTTGGTTAGAGAATCGCCTCAATATACCAAAGTTGTGGGGTTTGATCCCCGGTCAGGGCACGTACAAGAATCAACCAATGTGGGGGAGGTGAGTATAAAGGAAGTGAATGATAATGGAAAAGAAAATACAGTAAATAACTCCTAAACTATTAAAAAAAAAGAACCAGTGAATGCATAAATAAGTGGAACAACAAATTGATGTTTCTCCCCCCTTTCTCTCTCCCCTGTTTTTTTCTCTCAAAATCAATCAGTTTTTTTAAAGATTTTAAATTTTATTTTTATTTTTTTAAGATTTTATTTATTTATTTTTAGAGAGAAGGGAAGGGAGGAAGAGCAATATCAATGTGCGGTTGACTCTTACGTGGCCCTCACTGGGGACCTGGCCCACAACCAAGGCTTGTGCCCTGACTGGGAATCAAACGGGGGACCCTTTGGTTTTCAGCCCATACTCAATCCATTGAGCCACACCAGCCAGGGCCAAAAGAAAAAAAAATTTTTTTTAAGAAAGTATTGGTGAAGATTTTTGCCTCTAACTGCTGGATCTCTGCTTCCCTTCCCTGCCTTTATACAGGCCTTTATCTTCTCTTATTTAATTATGACACTAGCCCCCAAGCTGGTTTCCCTACTCCATTCTCAGCCCCTCTTAAAGCCAATTTACAAATCTATAACATATATCTAATCAAATCACTCTTCTCTTTAAAACATTCATGTTTCTGCATTCCCTGCATAGTATAATCCAAATTACTTAATAAAGCATAAGTTCCTGGCTCTGGTTTGCCATCTTAGTCTTATTTCCAGATATCTGTCTTCCTCTGACCCTCCTATGATTTCTTGAATATGGCATTAAGTTTGTCCCCTCTCAATCTTACAAGCTTTCTGTTTATCCTTCAAACCCATTTCTTCTGCCATTTCCTTTTAAACCCTTCCCTCTAACCCTTCTAGGAGTTATTGCTTTCTTGCCTTTGCTTTCATACAACTTGTTCATATCAGTGATGCATCCCTCAGTTCATTATACAATGCCTGGCACATAGGAGACATTCAGTAAAAATGCTTTGTGTGGATGCATGCATGACTTGGAAAGCTTGGAAATGGGGAAAATAGACAAAGGTTGGGTGTATTTGTGTAGATAGGCATGTGCTTGGAAAGGCAAGACTGCCTTCTCAGCAGCTTTTGTGAGATGCATGTTGAAAAGATGTCAAAGAGATGACAGGTCTCTACCTTCCAGGAAACAAACAAACATGTTTTTGGCTATCTAATCATGATGGACAGATTCTAGACACTTCAGGGGAGGTGACTAAGCCTCCCATTTTGTTTAATTCTAAAATCAAAACTCATAGTCAAGGTGGTTACTGTCCTTAGGGAGCAAGAACCTACTAAAATGAGGACTTCCATTATCCAGGCAGCTGAAATGCATCTATACTAATATGTGGATCTTCCCAAGACAGTTGGGGAAATGGACAGGAAAGTAAGGAGAAATGGCATGGAAAGACTACAACCCTGCAACTGGGCCTTCCAGGGGTGATTTGTTCATGACTTATGCTTACAGCTCTTGGTGGGTCTCTTCTTTGCCTTAGGTATGGCACTAGGTGCCCCAGATGTGTGCAACCAGGTCACCTCATCCCAGTCTGTCCGGGGTCTTCTCCCTTGTACTGCCCAGCAGCAGCAGCAGCAGCAGCAGCAGCAGCAGCAGCAGCAGCAGCAGCAACTTCCTGCTCTCCCACCCACGCCTCAGCAACAGCCACCCTTGAATAATCACATGATCTCACAGGTGAGTCACCACTCAGTGCCAGAGCCCTCTTCTCTGAGATTCAAACAAGCTCTGGAAGTACAGTCATGCCTCTTGTGCTGTGGGTAGCAGGAAAGATCTTTTTTTTGGAGACATGCCACTCCCTCCCCCATTTCTCATTTGTTAGTTTTGGGGAGAGAAGAGTGAGGGTGAAGACTGGCCGAAGAGCTCTTGGTAGAGTCGGTCTGGGAGATTTTTGCTTTATATATTTCTTCCTCTTCCTCCTAAAAATTGTCAGTGGTATCTTTTAGCCCATTCCACATTTCTGCCGTACCCCATCTCCCTCTACATCATATATAATTAATAAGGTGAGTTTGCTCACTATATATGGAGCTTGAAAAGATCACAGCTCCCACCATAGTCTTACTGAACGTGCTCATGTGACTATTGATCCATAAACATATTTATGTGTTGAGGTTGGGGGGAAAGGAAATACCACTCAAGACCCCTGCGGTACCTATGCCATAAAGCACAGAAACCCTCCAGTGTTTCCTTTGTTCTCCATGCCATAAAAGAGCTCTCTTTCTCCTTCTGTTGCTGGATGCGTAGATGTTGGTACCAACTAGGATGTGAGTGAAGTTTTGCCTCTGGGAGCCATCCAAGCCATCAGCATGAGATCAAATCCTATTCTAAGTGAAACCTTGGTATTCTAGGTTTAAAAGTCTCCTTAATACCCTGAGGAGAGCTGCTCTGAGCTCGTCATGAATAGAGCCCATGCTTGATCCTGAAGCATTCTCTGGTAGTCAGGAAGCCCATGTTTGTACTCTGTTGTGCTGTAGTTTAAATTCTTGTTTCACCTGCCAATCTCGCTCATCTGACTGTTTAGTCAGTCCAGCTTGGCCTCAGATACGTTTCTTCCGTAGGTACAAGAAGCAAATTCCAAGCACTCACACCCCAGGAACTGGAAACTAGAGTGGGAAGGCCCTAGAATGGCCTAGTACTACCCCATTCAAATATTATGAAATAAAGCTAAATAAAGAACAGTGAAGACCTAGGAAACCCTGCTTTGTGGGGGGTTTTTAATTATTTATTTACTTTTTAGAGAGAGGGAGAGAAACTTTGCCTCTCTCATGCCCCCAACTAGAGACCTGGCCTGCAACCCAGACATGTGCCTGACTGGGAATTGAACCAGTGACCTTTTGGTTCACAGGCCAGTGCTCAATCCACTGAGCCACACCAGCCAGGGCCCCTGCTTTGTGTTTTAATGTCACTCCCATGACAGATCATTCTAGTCCCTCATCTTAGTCCCTAAATCAGTTTCTCTATAATCTTAATTTAGTTTCCTCTTCTACAGCCATCTGCCTCATTAAATCTCATTCATATCAGCTTACCTCATTCCATACTGAAGCATGGCGTGTGTGTGTGTGACTTTCACTGTGTCTTAACTCAAATCTAAAAGTGGGTAAAACTCTGTGCTTCTCCCTGTGGCTGTCTTCTCCTATGCTTCTGTGTGTGTGTGTGTGTGTGTGTGTGTGTGTGTGTGTGTTTCACTTTTGTAAGGGCCCAGTATGCATTTTTTTAGTTTTCTAAAATGTGTGGATTTTAGTAGAGTTTTGCTCCCTTTTCTCCTTCTTAGTCTTCCAACTGCCTCTTCCCTCTATCCATATCTAGAAACAGACAGCAAGAATGGAATGGGGATAAAGAGATAAGTAAAGAGAGTAACCATTTTGGACTGGAAAAATTTTGGACAGAATGTCCAAGTGGCTGGCCCTGAATCCCAAACTTTTACTTAGATTCTATCTCTGCTTCTGTATCATGAGCATCAGTGAGTCAGCTGTTAGTATTGGCTGACCTCCTGCAGGGAGTAAGGTACTAGTTTGGGCCATGTGGACTGGGGACAAGGGAACATTATTTGGTACAGAAATGTCTGCTCCATAAGAAATTTATTCCTGAGGTTAATTGTGGTCCCAGACTCCAAACCAAAAAATGCTTATCCTGGTTAAGTTTTGGTGTCCCTGAAGCACTTGTGGTAGCTGCTAATATTCTATTATCCCCAGCGCTTGTGTAGTCCCCTTTTTCTTCCTCTCCTCTTGTTCTGTTTCTCTCTTTATCCTTTTTTCCTCCTCTTACTGCATTTTTCTTTCTTCTTTTCTTTTCTTCTGCTGTCTCTTAGTGCTGGTGGCTCTCCAAACTCAAGTGCTGAGCCCCAGAATACTTACTGTTCAGTCCCTCAAATGGTATGTAACAGAGCAGGGATGGAGAAAGTGACCGTGTGCGAGCACATGCGCGCGCGCGCGCGCGCACACACACACACACACACACACACACACACACTACTGTGCTTACTGTAAATTTTTTCCTTTGGAAGAGAAACTGAGAAAAGGTAGTTACCTTCAGCTCTGCAACAAGAGGCCTTTGCCCCAGCTTGGAGACACTGCTGGCTAAACTATGCTCTGTCTCTTTTTGGCAGGCCTCTGCTATGAGAGCAAGCCTCCATATCGTATTTCAGTAGAACTTGTGAAACCAAGGAGTGAGGCTGAGAATTCAAGGACCAGAGGCTACCTTTTGCCCAGTTTACTTAAAGTAGAATGGATCCCTAAAAAAGAAGCACTCTGAACCTCTCTCCTGAGGCCCAGTCAGGCATCTAAGAACCAATGATCTAGTCCAGAATTTGCCAGTAGGTGGCAGTCACACCCCTCAGGCTTTTCATAAGTTCCCTAACTGGAGTTTAAGACTTTCTGAGAAGAAAACTGTAGCTGAGGGTAGTGATGGTATAACTTAAAAATACAGAGACAGCTACCCTTACCGCTGCCCTTCTCAATCAGGGGTGGCCTAAGAGAAGAGCATCATTTCTTCTCTCTTCACTTTCTACTCAAAACTCACAAATGTGAGGAAATGAGGCAGCCTTATTTTACCACTTCAATTTCTCTATGGCCACTCCTTTTCCCCCAGAGAATTAAGGCCTGAACCACATTAGCCTTCCCCTAAGAGAAAGAAGAGGATAAGGATAATAGAAAATGAGTTTAAAAGCTACCAGCACAGGTATCTCATGCTGAGCAGCTTGGCCAGCAGTTATATTTGGAATACCACTACAGAAAACAGGTATGCCAGGAAAACTGAGAGTTTATTTTCAAGGCAGCATCTCTCCAGGTCACACAGTGAATTCTCAGTAACTTTTTCCTAACCAAGTTGACTTACATTGTATTTAACCCATTTTGGGAGTCTTCTAATTCCTGTACTCTGTACTCCTGGAAGTTAGTCCCCTCTGTGAAAGGATCTCTCCAGAGATATATGGCAGGAGAGGATATTCATACTCTGGTCCTCCACACCTTCTGTTACTCTAAATTTGAAAGGGAAGAGGAGAATTATACAAAAAGATGTTTGTGTAATTTTGTTCAACTTTTCTGTCACACTGTCCCTACTGCTAGAGTAGAGTAGAAAGAATGTATGTCAGGCAGAACTAGATCCCTATCTAAGCTTGCCATATTAGTGTGATCCTGGATGTGTGATTTAATTTCTCTGAACCTTACTATCTTAACTGCAAATACAAGTTACCATATCTTCTTATAAAATTACTGTGAAGTTATTCCTTGGCCAGTGTGGCTCAGCTGGTTGGAGCATCATCCCTTAACCAAAAGGTTGTGGGTTCCATTTCATGTCAAGATGCATTCCTAGGTTGCAGGTTCAGCCCCCAGTCTGGGCACGTATGGAAGGTGACCAATTGATATCTATCTATCTATCTCTCTCTCTCTCTCTCTCTCTCTCATTTCTTGGGTGAGGATTAAAAAGAAGATTATTGTAAAGCTATTATGAGATAAAGTATATAAATGAGACAATGTATGTAAATGTTATTTCCTTCTCTCTTCCTAGCCTCTCCCCTTTTTCCCCCTCCTCCTACCACCATCGGGGGCCCTGGCTGGAGAATTGATGAGGGGTTGAAATGGCTGGAGGAGAAGAAGAGAGAGAAAAAGTAACTCCCCATTAGTTGGTTTAGAACATACCGATTCCTAATAAACAAATCCTCCTGTTTGAGGCTAGTGAACAGACTGATGGAACAAAAGTTAAAAACTAAGCTATTTGTATTTTATTCCTAAATCCCTCTCCCTGTTTGCTCATGGGGGCATTTTTCATACTGCCCTCACAGCCTGGAGATGCACAGAACAATCTTGGAACAGGAGGAAGTAGCCAGAACCAGATGCTAACTGGCCATTTTCTTCTCTGCCCTCGGGAGAGAGATGATCCTTGAGAATGAGCACTTCCTCCCGGAAAGCTGTGCTGTGAAATCAGCATCGTGGCCAGGAAAGCTGAGCCAGGCCTTGGATGACCCTTCCTACAGAAGCAGGAATCCCTTCTCAAGTGGGCATTCGAGGAGGGTTGTGATCATGCTCCTCAGGAATCATGTTCAGAAAAAATGTTTTGGGAAAAGCTATGTTTGGAATCAGGCAGCAGACCCTGGCTCTGAGAGCTCTAAAATTGCTCACAACAGCTGCAGGGCTCTGAGAGGCTAATGGGGTGGGGTGTGCAGTGGGTCTCTCCTGATAGGAGAGATCACCTGTTTGTCAGAGAAGTGAAAGCCACAGCTATCCTGGGCTTGGTCTCCAGCCTGCTCAGCAGCCTTACTATTAATGTGAAATTTCTTTTATGATTAACTTTGTTGTTCCTTCCCTTTTCCTTCCCCTCTCTGCCCCGCTGCCTTTCCCTGTGCCTCCCTTTTCTCTCCCCTTTTCCACATGCCTCTCTGCTGGTCCACAGCCAGTCCCAGCTCTGCAGCCCTCTCCGCAGCCTGTTCAGTTCTCTCCAGGCTCCTGTCCCCAAGTCCTTCTGCCAGTCTCTCCACCCCAGCAGTACAACATGGTATAAACTTCATTCCCCCTTTTTGTCTTGTCCATGTGTGGCCTGTATCTCTGGGTATGTCTGGGTCAGTCTGTGACAGCCTTGCAAAGCAGCTGTGCTTTTCGGAGGGCCATGTTAAAAGGTGTTTCTTCTTGAAGGGCCAGCACAGGCTGAACTGTGCTCCATTCCATTGACTTCACCGAGCAATTTAGCCATCAAAAGATGCCTAAATGTGAGATAGAGAGGAACACGGAGTTCCCCTGAGTTTCGGGAGGGGAAACAAAATTGGATGTTGGTCTAACCATTATTTCCTTTAAATATAAAAACACAATTACAGAATTCCCTGGTGTCACTGGTAAAAACTTAAAATGTACCCATCTCTTACCATGTTATTTTACAATAAAAAAAATGTTTCCTAATGCTTAACACTTGCTATTTAGTTTGTATCTTGACTACAAATCCTTTGAAGATCTAATTTTTCTCATACTTGATAACTTCTATCATGGTTACAGGAGGGCTGATTTCTTTTTAGTTTGTGTTAATCACACCTGTCTGCTTTTTACTAGAATACCCTCTTCCTCCCACCTCTTATCTCCATTCTGAGAAATTCTAGAATATGGACCTCAGAATAATCAGCCATTCCATCCTGTTGTCATCTCTTTCTGCCCACTAAGGTAGCAAAATAGCTAACTTGAAGATCAGGTCCCTGAAAATTGAGTGAAACCACAGGAAAGCATTACCTTTGGTTTCTACGAGAGAGAGAGAGAGAGAGAGAGAGAGAGAGAGAGAGAGAGAGAGAGGGAGGGAGAGAGAGAGAGAGAGAGAGAGGGAGAGAGAGAGAGAGAGAGAGAGAGAGAGAGAGAGAGAGAGAGAGAGAATGAGAATCAGGGGAGCAGAAGGGACGAGGAAGCTAACAAACTCTAACCTATCACCACCCTACAAGTGAAAGATGGAACACCATCATTCTTGCTGCTTAGAGAAGAGGGCTGAGAGAGAAGGCAATTACAGACTAGCCAGTCAGTCTCGCCCTCCAGCTCAGCCGCTCACCCTGGCCTCCTTTCAGAGGTGAGAATTGGAAGTGGTTTTTAAAGGGCAGGAGAACTTTAGGCAAAGTGTCAGAGAACAGAGGTGGAAATGACCTCAAGAGTGAGCAAGGAGGTAAGCAGCAGGAGTGGGAACCCACCAGTCTTTCCACTGCATAAGAGAGCTGGAGCCACATGAAGTGAGCCACCCGTAATCCACTCACGGTGTTATCTAGGTCCTTTATTATAAAAAATGGGATTTTTGGCAACATAGGGGTACTTTGCATGGTTTGAAGGCATGAGGAAGACAGGAAATGGAAAGACCTACAGTCTTTTTTTTTAACTCACTAGTTTGTCCTGTTTCTTCTATATATATAGAAGGTGTGTCATTGCTCCCATCTCCCCAGGATAAATGCTAATAAAAATCATAATCAGAGTGGCCATTGTTACCTCATTTGTGGTAAGGAGACTGGCCTCCCAGGGCCCAGAGGCAAGAGTGTCCCAAATTTGATCTAAGTAAGGAAGGCTAAAGAGGGGGTTGTTGTTTCTGTCTGTCTGTCTGTCTGCCTATCCATTTGTGTTGAAGCCAAAGACATGGGGTTTGATACAACCTCAGTCCTTGAGTCTCCCCCACTCTCTCAACAGGCAGATGACCTCAGCAACCCCTTTGGACAGATGAGCCTTAGCCGCCAAGGTTCTACTGAAGCATCTGACCCATCCACAGCTCTGTTCCAGCCCCCACTTATCTCCCAGCACCCTCAGCAGACTAGTTTCATCATGGCTTCTACGGGTCAGCCCCTCCCCTCTTCCAACTATTCCACCTCTAGCCATGCACCACCTACCCAGCAAGTCCTGCCACCCCAGGGCTACATGCAGCCCCCTCAACAGGTGAGCAGCTCAGGTTCCCAGCTTAAATTACTAATTCAGTTTGTCCAGTATTATAATCCCTCCCTCTTCCTCTGATTTAGACAGGCCAGAGGGGACACCCATCCATCACCTCCATTTCCCCACCTTGCACTTGAGAGTTGTCTTCAGTCAGAAGATTGTCTTTCCAGATGAACTAAGTCCTTCCTGTTCTGTTTCAAATTTGCATACTAATGCTACGATTACAGACCCAAAATATCTCGATTTACAGATTTTTGACCATCAACCCTGATGCATTGAATAGTTTGGGGCCTATCGGTTAGGGTGGCATCCTAATACAGTAAGGTTGCAGGTTCAATCCCCAGTCAGGGCACATACAAGAAGCAATCACTGAATGCGTAAATAAGTGGAATAAGAAAATCAGTGTTTCCCTCTCCTCCCTCCCTCTCTCTCTCTCTCTCTCTTTCTCTCTCTTTCCCTCTCTTTCCCCACCCGATTCCTCTCTTTCTCTAAAATCAATAAATAAAAATTTTAAAAACCAGTTTGGGGATTTGGGGGCTGATTTTGAGTGACCTTCTCACACATCTGTCTCCTCTCACCATAGATCCAGGTTTCTTACTATCCCCCTGGACAGTATCCTAATTCCAACCAGCAATACCGACCTCTCTCTCACCCGGTGGCCTACAGCCCCCAGCGTGGTCAACAGTTGCCTCAGCCATCCCAGCAGCCTGGTAAGGGGAACAGCTAGTATAAGGAAGACAGTGAATAGAGGAAGGGTGGAGACTGGGAAAGAGAGAATTACCTTCCCTTTTTAAAAAAAAGAAGGCAGGGATGATTAGAGTCCTAAAGAGGCACCCAGGATCTCCAAAAAAAGAAAAGGTAAATTAGACAGGTGGAGAGAAATTGCTGACGGAGTATGAGCTCCTAAACATTATTGAGACCATGCTAATCTCTTCTCTGCCTTACCCATCCCCAGGTTTACAGCCCATGATGCCTAACCAGCAGCAGGCGGCTTACCAAGGCATGATTGGGGTCCAGCAGCCACAGAACCAGGGCCTGCTCAGCAACCAGAGGAGTGGCATGGGGGGCCAGATGCAAGGCCTGGTGGTTCAGTACACTCCACTGCCTTCTTACCAAGTGGGTGCATTCTGCATTGGGAAAGATCACCCAGTCCTCGGGATGAGGGAAAGGAGGGCAGCCTCCCACATCATCCAGTCTGACAACTCTAATGCTAAAATGTTGTTCACTTCACCCCTAAAAATTTTAGGGGTTTTTTCCTCTGAGAGAAAGCCCAGAGAATCTGAGGAGAGTCTTGATTTAAATTGTTTGTTCCTTATACAGCCATGCAAATAAGTATATACCCAAAAGAGTGAGCCCTAAAGGAAAGCGGGCTCCTTTCTCTACATCAGATGTTCAGGGGCGGTATTTGGAAAAGGGAAGTAGAGGTGGCTCTGTAGGCATTTCCTTTAGGTAGATGAGGAGAATAGGAGGGGTCTCTAAGAGGCAGAGAATGAAGTTAGAGTGTCTCAGTCTGGTGATGACTGGGCTGTTCTCTGGATAGCTCACTGGGAGTACGAGTAGCCACTTTCCTCTTGTCTCCACTCAGGTCCCAGTGGGTAATGACTCACAAAATGTGGTCCAGCCGCCTTTCCAGCAACCCATATTGGTCCCTGCGAGCCAGTCTGTACAAGGGGGTCTCCCAGGAGGGGGCGTGCCGGTCTACTACAGCATGATCCCTGCGGCTCAGCAGAACGGTACAAGGTGAGGACTCTCAGAAAGTCCTGACATATTTCCCATGGACCTTTCTTTGGTGACTATTGTACTGTGGTTTTGTTTTCACCGGCCTAAAAAATGAAAGGTACACGTCCCAGTGGTGCCCTCAGGTAGAATGTGAGGGAGTTCATTCTCCTTTTCTCCCCTGTGATTTGACATTTCCGTAAGAGCTTGTCAGCAGAAAAAAATTCCTGTTTTAGAGACAGAGGCCTTATAATTTCCCATTTTTTGTTCTTTTAATCAGTGAGATTCAGAGGTATGTGATAGAGATAGCTTATAATTAAAAGAAGCAGTTTGGAGTGTATATATGTAAAAATTTTCTGCATACCTCTGTTTATATCCATGAGTGAATCTTAGATGGTCTTTATACTTATATGTATCTTATATGTATCTTAGGATAGACCATAGCTGGTAGAGTTTTAGAGGTAGAAAGCACCTAAGAAATATCTTGTCTGCTCCCTTTGTTTTATTTTTCTCCTTTTTTTTTTTTTTTAATAAATGAAGAAGTTCCAGCTAGGGATGTTAAGAAACTTCCCCAAGTCATATAGCTAGTTAAAACCAGAGCTGGAACTAGAACTCAAGTCTGGGCCTACCAGTATGTATTTCTGTATGTCTCTCTCAGTGTGTATATGTTTATTTCTGTATTTTTATATGTATGTCTCCTGTTGTCTTGAGTTTTGGGGGGGTCCCTATTTGTATTTACGTTGATTATTATCTGTGTTTGCCATTGTGTAAATATCCTAAATCACACATCACCTTAGTTCTTTTCTACCCATCTCTCTCTTACACTGTATTATCTGTCTCTGGCTCTCTCTCTCTCCATATATATATATATACATACACACATATATACACACACACATACATATACACACATATATAATTAATTTGAGAGAGAGAGAAACATCAGTTTGTTGTTCCACTTATTGATGCATTCATTGGTTGCTTCTTGTATGCACCCTGACCAGGGACCTAACATGCAACCTTGGCACATTGGGATGATGCCAGGCCCCTGGCACTGTCTGTGTGTGTCTGCTGTGTTTCTCAGAGTGTATGTGTGTTTGTGCTGTGTGCATGTATGCGTGTGTTTGTATCTGGTGTTTCCACACTGTCAGGAAGAGCATGTGTCACTAACATTCCATCTGGAGCACTGATTAGCAGCTTCCTAATTGAAAGATGATCAAGTACAAATATATATAATTAACTTTGAACTGATTAGCAATTTTAGAAATTGCATGGCAAATTGGTTTGAGAATGGCCTGGAGCTCCCTCCGCTTCCCACAAGGGAGGCCCAGGAAGCAGCAGCTGTTTGCCGTGAGCTGTGTTCTCCCTCTACCAATTTACCGCTCCTCTCTTTTCCATCTCCCCAGCCCTTCTGTGGGGTTTCTGCAACCTCCTGGCTCTGAGCAGTACCAGATGCCTCAGTCTCCCTCCCCCTGCAGTCCACCACAGATGCCACAGCAGTACTCAGGTAAGACAAAAAACGTGGGGTTCTTGGGCACCGGCAATTGCAGTGCTGCTGAAGACCTTGTGCTCTAGGTCTGGGCAGAGCAGAGAGAATTCAGGAGTTGGCTGTGTACCCGGCTGTGTACCCGGCCCTGACCCCATCAGGAGGAAATGCCAAAGTCGTGGTGGTGTTTCCCAGGGGCACTGAGGTTGACCTCCCAAGAAAGGCCAGGTTGGTTGCCCGAGCCCCATTCTTGGGAAGCCACGTATCTGATTGGGTTTATTCTCTTTTCTTCTTTTTTTTTTTTTTGTTTTCTTTTTCTGAATTCAGCATTTCATTCACCACATGCCTTTGAGACATCAACTGCTCTTACCTGTCTCTTGCACTCATTCTTCCGATTAGACACCTTTTGTTTTCTCTCTTGGGAGTGTGAGAGAGGCTGATAAAATGCTTTTTAAGTCACATCTTAGATTTGTTTAGCAGTTTTTTGTATGTGCTCAGCTACATTTTACCATTTTATCCTTACCACAACTTCATGAAGAGGAAATTTAAGTCTCAAAGAGGATAAATGACTTGTCTAAAATCACAGTCCTAGAACTTGAACTTTTGTCTTTTGAATTTCCATGTCCTGTGCTGCATCCTCAGTAACATATATTCAACAAGCTTCTGTACCCTTATCCTTTCCCTCCAGGGGGAAGTGAGTGGATATTGTGTTAAGCAGCTGAAGGCCCTCTTTGGAGGCGCCACACCTCTCCGAGGTGAAGAGGTTCATACCATGCAGCCTCTCACTGGCTGCCTGTGCCTAGAGCTCCCCCAGTGCAGCCGCCCATGCTTATCTCCCTTTCTCCCTGCCCTGACACAGCATCGCACTGCAGTTAAGCCACTTCAGGGGTTCTAGAAGAGAGATCTTATTATATATTTTTTAACTTTAAAATGTTTTAAATTAATTTTTCCCATCACCATTTATCCCCCACCCCCATACTCTCTTCCACACCCACACAACCCCCTCAACCCTGCTCCTGTAGGGGAGGAGGTCTTACTGTCACTCTACTGTGGGAATATCAGAGTGCCCTCTCCTGGTAAGAGGGAAATATTCTTGCCAGTTTGCCCATTTAAAAATGTACTATTTTTCACAAGATTTTTTGCACTCTATATTAGATGCTGTGGAGTAGATTCCAGAATAATCTTGCTCATAAGACAAGATCAGTTGTTACCTTCCAGGAGCAATCACTTCTGCCTTCATCCAAACCAAACATGGATCTCTAATGGGCTGAGAGATTCTAAATTCAATAGCCCTTACCCTTCATTACATTATTGGTCTCTCTAGCTGCTTCTCCTAGTGTTCACCAGGGGCACTTGACCTTGAAATTCCCAGCAGGGTATGGAAATGGTAGAAACCAGCTCCAAGAACCAGTGTAGCCTTCGACGGTGCTTGACACTGCAGGGCGTTTTCTCTCCCATTAAAGTAAGTGTGTACATGTGCACATGGATACACTTCCTTGGTGGTATGTCAGTGTGTCTGCTGTGCCTTCATGGTTATGTATCTGATCAGCTTCAAATGTAAGGTTTTTGGATATGGAACAAACCTAGTAAAAAGAATTTTTCATTATCTACTATGGATCTAGTGCTGGGTAAAGTAAACTGAAACAGCTGTTCTGAAAGTTGGCAGCACTTAGAGATCTGGGCTGAGATCGGAAGGAGATAATCTAGGCTCTTCCCTAATCAAAAGAAATGGAGGAAACCCACTTTATCATCCAGTTCCCTTGCTTCTTTGGAATTTTCTGTTATATTTCCTTCAGAGCTACCCTGATCGACCCTCATCTTTGGACTGACCCCTTGTACTCTTCCTAGATGATGGGAGCATCATCTAAGAGACCATATTCACTGAAGACCAAAAGTGTTCAGTCCCTGTTCATGAAAATCTAAGAGGAAGTAGAGGAAAAGAAAATGTACCTCTTCTGTCTTTCTTTCCAGTTTACCCTTTACTGGGAAAGAAGATAGAAAATCAGCATAGCCCACAAAGGCTGCTGTGTCACCTTCAGAAGACAGTCACCCGCTCTTCTTTCCTTTAGCAACATGGTCACTTTTCCAAAAATAAAGGCAGGGATTAGGATTGGCTGTTCCTGGAACAGCTGTTCTGGTTTATTAACCCATTTTTGTAGTTGCCCGATTGACTCCCAGGCCCTGACCTTACCGCCTCTACTGTGATATTAGACATTACTGTAATCCCAGGACACATTTTTCTTTGCACTGAAATGGTGGCTTACAGGTGTTCTGAGGTTTCTACAAAGACGCTGGCCTGGGGAAGGTGCACCCAGAATCCCAGCTCACGGTGACACAGCAGTGCGGCCAGAGTGAGGGACGAGCAGACATGGCCCCTCACACGCTCAGTGGCTCATTTTGCAGCTGAGGGTTACCAAGGCTGTTACTGTTTTCTCCTTCTCTCCTGGAAGAAATCCCTCTACCCCACCAAAAAAAGGGGGGGAAAGACCAGATACTGCTGGATTCTATTTTGTAATTTGGGAAAGATGCCTGCGGATTTTGTTTCTCTGGACATTCCTTTCCATAGATTTGATTCCTGATGGTAAGGAAGAAGCTTTATCAGTCTTCTACCTCACTGATTTAAAAAACCCAACTAAACAAAAACCAATTCTGCCAGACATAAATGTCATCTGTTTGTATTTATGTGGTTTGCTCTGCCCAATCGACCTTTCTGCTCAGGTTTAATGATGCCACTTAAAAAGCCATTCACACGTCCCCTCTCCTTTCAGAGCTTTCCAGCTGAAATTGATTTCCTTATTCAACCCCCTTCCCACTCCAGTGCAGGCTCCTTCCTCCAACCTGATTATATGGAAGTGCTGTTACTGGGCAGTGGGGGTGGGGTTTTGTTTTGTTTTTTTTTATTGCCATGTCCATTAAGAAGTAGCGACAGTTCAGCTGCTAACAGATGCCACCTGCTTTTGGCTTGAGGAAAAGAAGCATAAAAAATCAGCTCATCAGCAGAGTAGTACTCTGTGTCCTCGGCTGAGTGAAGGAACAATGCTCCAGGCCAGTGGTGAAGGACTCGTTACAGGGAGGAGCTGAGGACAGAAGCTGTGACTGATAACCCTGGCTTTGTTTTTGTTGGGAATCAGAGAAAATAATATGAAGACTTTGTTCTCTTTTTCCTCCCCTTGATGCCCCAGTAGCTCCTTATGGCTACATGTTGGTATTAGAAAGAGCTTCCACTGCTTTGTTTATGCTCACATCCTACACACTCACACCCCCCGCCCCCACCCTTTCCTGGCCTAGGGCATCAGGCTCAGATTATGAACTGCCTTCCAGAAAAGCTGTAGATTTGATTATTTTTTGCCTTGGCCCCCTCAGGTAGCAAGGAGATGTTTGAATAAGGTCAATTGCGATATTGTTGGTAAAGGATGCTGGAGCAAGTGGGGTCTTAGGATGGGGAAATAAAATGCCCAAAGCAGCTATAGTAAGGGAAAGTTGTTAAATGTATTGCCATGCCACGACTGTGCAATTTTCTGTGGTCCTTCTACAAGCCACACTGATGAATATCCTGTCCCCTTTGGCAAGGGATAGAGAGGTGCGAGCCTGTCACTCTGAATACTTGTGCTGTTTGATTAGAGGGAAACTGGGCTGGGGGCAGATTGACTGGGGAATAGGATAGGACAGGTGCTGTGTCTCCTAAGCTGCACTCTTAGGCCTCCTGCTGTTTCTTTTCCTTTCCTTTGACCAATGCTACCTGAGAAAAGCAATCACACTCACTTCCCAGCAGGACTGGTGCCCAGGGCAGAGGCTGCACCATTTCCCTTCACAGGAAGCAATGTGGTGGCAGCAGCAGTGGCAGCTCCGGAGCACCGAGCCATGAAAACCATAGCACTGCAGCAGGTTTTTTGCGCTGGCAAGTCCCAGTCCCATTTCTCTGCCACCACACACACATGAACTCAGCTTGTCTGTCTACAGAAGTATATCCTGGGAGGTCAAGAGCAAACCTTCACACTGGACAATTCCCTGTGGGGAAGCAGAGCTCCTGCCCATTCCTCCCAGCAGGAACTATCTGTCAAATTGCTTCCTGACCCCCCCTCCCCTTACCTTGCTTTTCACCATGAGGAAGATTCAGGACTTAATGTTCCTCCTCATTGAGCCCTTTCCTTCCCAGCCTGTGAGAAGGTAAGGCTCTCCATGGTTGCCCTTGCTATAAAACCTCAGGATCACATCCCGTCAGTCAGCTGAACCTGTCAGTGAAGCCTTCAGAGAGGATCTGACTCCTCCCTCCCTACTCCATTCCTGCTGTCGCTGCTCCAATTCAGAACCTGCTCATTCAGTTTCCATTGCTTCCTAACCAGTCTTCCTGCAGCTAGTCTCTCCCTCCCTCCAGCCTCCTTACATGTAGCCTTTGTGTTAGCTCTCCGAAGCACAAGGGCTCTTTCTAACACCTGCAGGGTAAAGACCCTCACCAGAATGTGCTTCAGACTGACACCAACTGTTTGTTTGCTTACTGTCTGACTCCCTAATAGACCATCCATTCCTCCATCCCATGAGGACAGAGACCAGTTTTGTTTGTTGTATACCCAGTGCCTAGCATAGGACCTTACACATAGTAAATGTTTGATAAATGTTTGCTGAGTAAGTGAATAAGCATATCTCATCTCATACTACTTCTTCCACATAGTTCCTATGCCTTAGCACCTCAAATGGTCATTTCCTGAATATGACACACCTCTGCCATTTCCCTCTTCTTAAAATGTTTCCTGCTCACCCCACCCTTGCCCAAGAAGCACCTTTTGGGTCTGGCTTAGTGAAGCTGTGTGCATTCATTTTCTCCAGAACAACCAGAGATCACTGACTTATCTGCAGCTATTACGAGAGAAGGCTGCAGGTGCCTGCAGCCCTGGCCAGAGCCCCAGGCTGGGACCTGTAACACGCCCATTTAGTTGAGCGATCTAACTTGGGCATTTGACAGAATGGAGTTTTCTGTCAAAGTACCCCTCACCATGTAAAGGTCAGGAGAGCACTGGGCATCTGGGACTTATGTCCCTTCCACTCAAACCTCCACTGGTTTGGGGAGAGGGAGTCAGACACTAAGTCAACAGCTATGTCAGGTTCCTGGCAGGACGTGGTTTAAGTGACCATGAGGAGAGCTGGTGGATTTGTTTATTGGCTTTCCCACTTAGGGTTACCTGACAGGCCAAAATATAATTTGAATTCACAGCCAACTGCTTTCTTCCTGCCACTCAGGAGTGTCACCTTCTGGACCAGGTGTGGTGGTCATGCAGCTGAATGTCCCTAATGGACCCCAACCTCCCCAGAACCCATCCATGGTCCAGTGGAGTCACTGTAAATATTACAGCATGGACCAGCGGGGGCAGAAGCCTGGAGACCTGTACAACCCTGACAGTAGCCCCCAGGTGAGTCCTGAAGCCTGGCTTTGCCTTGGCAAGGAAGTGACCAGATTCTTTGCCATTGATTGAGCAGCCTCTTTTACATGCCTTTCCCTGGGCGCTTTTTGAGGAGGTACACAAATAGAGGCGAGCATCTTAAAGTACCTAAGATCCAAGGTGGCAGATGGAACACATCCTTGAAAATGCTGAGAATACTTAAAATGGTATTTCAAAAAGTGGATATTAAAATGATACATACCAGTTAGGCACTGGTATGAAAGGGGGCAGTGTGAAAGGGCAGTCTGACTTTGGCAGAGTTCAGCAAGAGAAGTTTCCCGAGGGAAGCGAATTTTAAGCCAAGCCATAAAAACATCCAGAGATTAATATTTGGGGTTTACGTGACGTGTACTCTTCTCTCCTACAGGCCAGCACGCAAATGAGCAGCAGCCCCATCACCTCTCCTACCCAGTCCCCAGCACCCTCTCCTGTCACCAGCCTCAGCAGTGTCTGCACAGGACTCAGTCCCCTTCCTGTCCTCACACAGTTCCCGCGGCCTGGGGGTCCAGCACAGGGTAAGGGGTTAACTTAAGGCTGCCTGCTGTCACATTCACCCTTCACATCCCATTGCCAAGTGGGGAGACTGAGAGGGTAGCCACAGGCGGGGAGCCAGTGTGCCTGACCAGCCAACTCTGGGAGCCAACTATTTTATTTTATTTTTTAATCCTTACCCGAGAATATGTTTATTGATCTTAGAGGAAGGGAGAGAGACAGAGAGACAGACATCAATGTGAGAGAGAAACATTGATCAGTTGCCTCCCATACATGCCCCAACCTGGGACTGAACCTGAAACCTAGGTATGTGTTCTGACCGGGAATCAAACCTGTAACTTTTTGGTGTACGGGGACGACACTCCAACCAATGGAGACACCCAGCCAGGGCTCTGTAAGCCTACTCTTATTTTAACCTCTTTGTCTGGGCCAAGGACATTGGCCTCTTTTTAGAGATGGCCATAGTTAACTTGCTCCAGACCTCGCTTAACACAAATAAATAAATAATATATATTTATATATAGTTATATATATAAATAAACACATAACTATATACACACATATATACATATACATGTATGTGTGTATGTGTGTATGTATGTATAAATAAAATCTTACGTATTCAGTATTACCAAGTAAGGTGGCTATCAGCCAGGGAAAAGAAGTTCACTGAACTTAGTTTCTTTCTTTTTTCTTTTTTTTTTTTTAAGATTTTATTTATTTCGCTGAACTTTCTAATGAACCAAAGAGTTCAACCCATCAATACTGAGTCTGAGGCCTGGGAATATGGCCCATGTCAGAAACAGTATGGTTTTATAAGAGGGAATACTGGATTTGAATTAAAAGACTTGGATTCAAATTCTGCTTCCACCACCAAGTAGCTTTGTGATATTGACCATGTTATTTAAACTGGGAACCAAACCTCAGTTTTGTAATCCATAGAATAGGCTTAATCACATATATGGTGGGAATAAGCTTATCTGCTTTCTGCCTTGGTTGTCACACACAGTATAAGGTCATCTGTTGTGATTAAAAACTTTTAGCCCTGGCTGGCGTAGCTCAGTGGATGGAGCACGGGCTGCGAACCAAAGTGTCACAGGTTCAATTCCCAGTCAGGGTATATGCCTGGGTTGCAGGCCATGACCCCCAGCAACTGCACATTGATGTTTCTCTCTCTCTCTCTATCTCCCTCCCTTCCCTCTCTAAAAATAAATAAATAAAATCTTTTTAAAAAATAAATAAAAATAAAAACTTTAAAGTGCTCTGGAATCTATTTACCAACAATAATAGCTAACACTTACAGTGCTTAGTATGTATCAAGCATTGCTATGCTTTACATGTTTTATATTCATTTAACCTTCCCAGCAACACTAATGAGGGGAACACTACCCAACATCCATTTCTAGTAACAGAGCCAGGATCTGAACCTCAGCAGTATGGCTGCAAGTCTGTGCCCTTCTCCACTACACTGTATTCTGACATAAGTCAGAAACTTGGTCCCTGGGTTTGGGGTGTGGAGAATTTCTGTAAGAAATAAAAACATTCACCCTGGCTGGTGTGGTTCAGTGGATTGAGTGCTGGCCTGCAAATGAAAGGGTTGACAGTTCGATTCGCAGTCTAGGGCACATGCCTGGGTTGCAGGCCAGGTCCCCAGTAGGGGGTGTGTGAGAAACATCAAATACATTGATGTTTCCCTTTCTTTCTCCCTCCCTCCCCATTCCTAAAAATAAATAAATAAAATCTTTTTTTAAAAGAAGAAAAAACATTCATAAGGGTCTGTAGGTTTCTTCCAGGGCCTTTGTCTACAATTAACAAAGCCCTTCAAGGGTGAGGGAACCTAATATTCCCATTTGTCTGAAATACATCTGAGACCTAAGAGGTTTAGGTCAGAGAGACAACTCTCTAATCAGTCATGGGCACTCCTATTATAGAAAAAGTAGGAAAAGTATCTATCTCCAAGGCCCCCTGAAGTCTCATTGAAGTCATATTATGAAGTTCAAACTCGCATGAAACCATCTACTCTCCCTCCCTAGGTGATGGGCGCTACTCCCTCTTGGGCCAGCCATTACAGTACAATCTGTCCATCTGCCCTCCTTTGCTCCATGGCCAGTCGACTTACACGGTGCACCAGGTAAGGGTGTCTCCCATCAGACACCCCTTCTCATCTGGGCCCCTATCTCTGAGCCATCCACCTCAACCAGCTGAGTGGACAAGGGAAACAACACAGAGAGAATGGGCAAAGTGGGAGGGACCAATACTGATTCTTCCAGCCCATCCCAGTGTTCAGAGGGAGGGTCTCTTTGTTTCCCAGCGGCAACTCGTTGGCCATTCTGATGGCCAGGTGTTGGGGGGGTCCTCAGGGTTGGCTGCTGCTGCTTAATCTCTCAGACGCACGCTGGGATTCAAGGCAGTTAATGTTATTTACCCAGAATGCGTATTATCTTTTGATGTTGATGTTGAAGGGACAGAGTGGACTGAAGCATGGAAACCGGAGCAAGAGACAAGCACTCAAATCTGCCTCCACTGACCTAGGGACGACAGATGTTGGTGAGTGACAGGGTGCTGAATCTCCAAGAGAATGTGCTCACCCCTCCAGTCCTGCATCATCAGCCTAGGATGACTGGGAAAAACCAGCTTAGGGTCGGGGCAGGGAATGGGATCCTTTTGTACTATGAGCAAGGAGAAGCTAGAGAAGTGAAGTATCGTTGTCCCCCTTACCAAGGTCCTGGGGAAGACAATGGTAAAAATTGGGGGTTGCTGAGCCTATTATTAACACAGTCTTGTGGCAGTAGTCCTGACTTCAGTCTAGGATGTCTACGTTTGGTAATTCTACACCCGTTTTAGGAGATGATTGATGAGAGAATATGGGGGAATAACTCTTCTCCTACAGGCCTTCCGTAGGAGGCCTACAAGATCTCTCAGGAGTCCCCCTACTTAGAGCAGTTTGCTAAACAAGGAAAGGAGGGAAACCAACTTCCCTAGATGATAAGAAAGAGGAATCTCTTTAGGCCAGCCTCTGGGAAGGGATCTACGGAACATATTTCAGATCAGGCTATTGACTTGATGAAAGAATATCAGCAAAAGCCATCCTTCCTTCATTACAGCTCCCTGTGAGGGAGCTGAGGTATGGTCTCCAAATCTTAAATCTGGGATCTGATTGCAGTCTGTTCTGGCCTACATCACTGGGCTGGAAGAGAGAAAGGTTCCTCTGCTTCCTCTAGTTGCCTTGGTCAGAGTCTGGGTGGTAGGGAATGGGGTTGATGGGGGAAGGGGACAGGGCAAAGTGGGAAATGCTGGGCTTTTGAGGACATTGTACACAGGCTTGGTCAACTGGAGGCTTCTCTGCCGGGCCACTGTCTGGCCCTTCCTACTCTAATCCTTGCATGACCATGTCCTCTTTCCTCCCTTTCCAGTCCTGGGGCGGGTGCTGGAAGTGACGGATCTCCCTGAGGGCATCACTCGGACCGAGGCGGACAAACTCTTCACTCAGCTTGCCATGTCCGGCGCCAAGATCCAGTGGCTCAAGGACGCTCAGGGGCTGCCTGGCGGGGGTGGGGGGGACAATAGTGGGACTGCCGAGAACGGCCGCCACGCGGACCTCGCTGCCTTGTACACCATCGTGGCTGTGTTCCCCAGCCCCTTGGCTGCCCAGAATGCCTCCCTTCGCCTCAACAACTCCGTGAGTCGCTTCAAACTTCGAGTGGCCAAAAAGAACTATGACTTGAGGATCCTGGAGCGAGCCAGCTCCCAATAAACAGGAGGGGAAGGGACTCGCAAAGCAGTGGTGGGGGCAAGGTGGAGGGAGTTGAGGCGCCCTGAAGGACCGTGGACAGAGGGAGAGAGGAGGTGGCGGGCCCTGTGCTGGAGCCTGAGACAGCAGGGACGAAGACAGAGACAGACACTCAACTCACACTGGCACTGGACTCCTCCTCACCCCCTGCTGTGGGTCCTCCCGTTTTCCCTGGCGGGCCTCTGTCTGCTTCCTCCCCATCCCATCCTCTTCTATTATTTTTTATCTCCTCTCCCACCATGAAATGAATTTCATATTTTTTGGTCAGGTAGAATTGGGAGGGTCTTAACACTCCCCTATTCTGCTATTTCCTTACCATCCCAAGCTCCCTTTTCTTTTTTTGGTCTTTATGAATATATTTATATGGACAGAATTAAGAAAAATGAAATTGACTTCCCTTTCTTCTCACTTCCCCCATCTTGTCACCCCAAACCCTGCAGAGTTGAAACTCGGGCCTCCCCCCACCCCAGAACACTCGTACATCGTTTGTTTGAGGTTCGTGCCGCAGTAACAGATATAGTATTTAATTGCACATACAGATGTTTGCTGGGTATATTCACTGTAAATTTTATTTAATCTGACTTTTTGTTTGTTTGGGGGTTTACTTGGGGGGGAGGTTGATTTTGTTTTTAAATATAAAAAAAAATCTGTCACTGGACATCAGTCCCTGTGTTTCTCTTGCCGCTGGTGTGGGTAGGGTTGGAGGTCCTGGGTGGGCACAGCCCCACAGCGTCAGAGGGATGTGCCGTGGCCTGGGGTGGCCTTTCCAGCACATGAACACATACCTTCCTGATACTGTTCCCGTGTCCCGTCGTCCTCCTCACACATCATTCCCATAGGTGCTTGGGTCTCTAATGAGACCTTGGTGCTAGACTCTCCCACTCTGCCATTTAATTGTGGTTCGTCAAGCACATCACTTCTTAACTCTGGAGCTCTGTCTGGGTCCTTACCAGTAAAATAAGAGAGTTGGACTAACAAGGTGACCTCTGAGGTTTTTTTCCATTCTGTCAGTTCCGTGAGGCTGAGCTGCAGAGGAGTAAGTGAGGTCCAGATCTAGGCTGAATGCTGGCTGCTTACCTGTCCGTCCAGTCTGCCGAAAACTCCCCTGGGATGGAAGACGCGGGCCTGCCTTTAATCCTAAAGCCAGAGCACTGGGTTCTCCCTCGCAGGAACAGCAGGGCATGTTTCTTACAAGAAAAGCACCTTGTAGTACTGAGGTGCCACCTTATCCAAGTGAGTTCAGCAGCCCCTGTCCTATGCAACTGAAGAAAGGTGAAGAGCAGAAGGCACTTGCCTGCATGATAGAGCTTTTCCTGTCTGAGGCTTCTCAGTGCCAGCCTGTCTTGCAGCCTGTCAGACCACAGTCATTAAAGAGCCTGTAGACCCAGAACCTTCCAGCAGCCCCTTTTCAGTCTCACCCACCCCTTATAGAGGAAAGAGCAGAATTGACAAAAAACATTGCCCCGGAAATCTCTTGGGTCCAGTTAGCAGAATCTCTAGGCTCTTCCGAAGCTTGACTGGCCCTACCTCCAAAATAATCCTTTACTTCTTAACAGATACAAGGAATAAAGCAGCACTACATCGCCACCTCCAAATTGCTCTCCTCTGAGGTGGGAGTACCCTTTCCCAGCAGAGCAGGAGGAGGCTGTGAGCCTGTGAGATAAGAATGCCAGATTACTCACAGACCCGTCAGTTCAGTTCGTACACGGGCATCAGAGAAGGGAGATGGAATCAGGGCATCAAAATGACTGGGGAGTGTGAGGCCTGACCGTCCTACCGCGTCCAACAGTTTGCAGTTCTCCTGGGGAATGGGGATATTACTTACAGATGATAAAAAAGAAAAAACCCTCTCTGTGTGGCAGCTCTTTCAGCCTCTGTCCCGTGACAAGACCATCCTACCTGATCATCAGACCCTCACTCCCGCAGAACCTCCCCGCCTGGCTTTTTTAAAATAGATCTTAGAAGCCCCTTTACCCTGAGGACAAGATTTCGGAGAAACAGGAGGAACGTGCCTCTGGGGACAGTCGGAAGAACAAAGCAGTACTGTGTGTGTTTTACTCCCTGACAGGATGGCCAGAAGGTACCTTCCCACTTCCCACAGAGAAAAAAGCAATCCAATGTAGCTGAGAGAAGAGCTCTAAAAATTCAAATTTCCCTTTCTTCACCAGTTCCCAGTCCTTTCCTTCCTAAAGGTTTGAGGCTAAATTGACACTAGGTGGTATGGACACATGGCCACAGGGTGAGGGATGGCAATGGCTGGGAAGTTAAAGGTGTAGTTCTCAAAGCAGGGCCTGGGGAGGCAGAGTCGGGGAGATTTCGCCCTTGGCAAAAGGGGATTGGGAAAGCTGTTTATAATTAATCTTTATCTTCAGTCACCTAAAATTACCCAAATGGGTATACAGCATGAACACTGTCACCTCCTGAACTTAGCCAGTACTGACTGCCCTGCACACCACAGATGAAATACCAGGGGAGAGCAGCCCTGGGGGAAGGGAGGAGTTAGGGTCCAGCCCTGCCCATACCTCCCGTGTCCAATTTCTCTGTGTCAGCTGTGTCATTCAGCTGTTCACTTTCTTCCAGCCCTGTCACTTCAGTTCTGACACCAAGGCAAGAGCCTAGGTCTACAAATACCATCTGGGTAGCCAGTGTGAGCCCAGAAGGGACTGGGGGGGCTCAGCCCCCAAGGGAGAGGACCAGCCCTCCTCCAGCACCACCATTGAGACCACAGGGGCTCCCTCTTCCCTCCAGACTGGATTGACAGGGAATCCCAAACGTGAGTTGCCTGTTCATCTTCTTTCCATTTTCCGGACGGCTCACCCTACCTTTCCCAATCTGTAGTCTATTCAGCTTCTCCATTTCTCTCCTTGTCTATGAGTAGTTTGGGTTTTAGGAGTAAAGTTATTATTCTACTCCAGGACGAAGAGCTAGGATTGGAGGGTGGGGTGGGGGTGGGATCCAGAGAAGGGAATAGTAAGGGAAGGAAAGGCTCATATTACTGTGAAAACTTAAAATAGCTGAGGCCTGAGGCAGGCTGGGAACTAGGCACTGGGCCCCCAGAGCTCAAGAAAGGAGGAGGAACAAACGTCCCAGCCTACCCTTCCACACGTAAAACCTCTGGAAAAAACGGAGATCCGGGAAGGTGCGTCATATCTCTACTGCCCCAGGAAAAACAAAGTGCGGGTAGCAAAATCCCTAGACCAGGCAGCTCTGAGCATGGTTTCGGAGTATAGACTGGGGGGGTGCCCTCAGGGTGGAAGAATGGGTATTGCTTGAGGAACTAGTTGGGAAGTTCTTCAGTCTGTTGGGCTTTTCTCTGGACCCCCATGGAATCTTCCTGTTCATAAGCTCTGTGAAAGGATCTCTAACCAAATTTCTCCTGAAGCCTCCCCTTCAAGGACCACTCTAGTGTTGAGGGACAGGAATAAGGGAGAGAAGAATGGCAGTCAGGGATTAAATGTCATGGTGGGGTCCAACCTCTTGCAGCATGACAGAAAAGGAGATGCTGGAGTCCCCTCAGCCCTCCTTCCCAGCAGAGACTCGGAAAAGTGGGGTGAGTCTGGGCCTCTGGCCGCCAGCTATGGGGAGCTGGGGAGCCACGGTGGCCCTTGAGGAAAAGTGTTTGAACTGATCCTCACTTGTGCCTCCTTCACCCTTAGAGTGCCTGCCAGCCTCCGCAGCTCCCAGTACCCCCAGTCCTGGCCTATGCCCTTGCCCCAGGCTAGAAAAATGCCTAGTTAGCTTCAGCCTTACCTACTCTAGGGAGCATGACATTTCTTGTAACACTGGGTTTCCTTCATTCCCTCCCTCCCTCCCTCCCCACTCAGCTACAGCGGCTGAAGCATTTATTCAGGAAGCAGTCTCCTGGGACAAAGCAGATGGAGCCTCCCCCAGAGCCCCAGGCCAATGGGGAGGCAGTGGGCGCTGGGGGTGGGCCCATCTACTACATCTATGAGGAAGAGGAAGAAGAGGAGGAAGAGGAGGAGCCACCCCCAGAACCTCCCAAACTTGTCAATGATAAGCCCCACAAATTCAAAGATCATTTCTTCAAGAAGCCCAAGTTCTGTGATGTCTGTGCCCGGATGATCGTGCGTGAGTCCTGAAGGGAAGCAGAGGGTACATGATGCCGAAGGCAGGGGACTGGGAAAGGGTGTAGGAGAGGAGGGTTTGTGTAGCAGGCCGGCTGTGGCCAGATTTGGCTTTAAGAAAATACTGCTAGAGTGCTGGGTCCCAGACAGAAAAAAGACCCAAGAGCTAGAGTAGCAGCAGCAGTACGAAGGGAGAGGGAATCTGGAAGCTCACCCAAATGTTCTCCCCTTCTCCCAAGTCAACAACAAATTTGGGCTTCGCTGTAAGGACTGCAAAACTAACATCCACGAGCACTGCCAGTCCTACGTGGAGATGCAGAGATGCTTCGGCAAGATTGTGAGTAGGCTTCCAGGAGCGAGCAAGTAAGAGAAAGGGGACATGTTGCCAGCTGCCTCTTGCGAGTTCCTCCTTAGGTCATCCTCTCTGTTTCCCTGCTTTTTCTTTCTCAGCCCATCTCTTATTTCAAGAAGGGGTGAGCACTCATGGGAGAGGTGGGGTTCTGGGCTCTGCCTTGCCCTCTCTAATGCTTTTTCCCATCCCATCCTGCCCTACAGCCCCCTGGTTTCCATCGGGCCTATAGCTCCCCACTCTACAGCAACCAGCAGTACGCTTGTGTCAAAGATCTCTGTAAGTGACCCACGTGGACCCTGAGGGAATGGGCAAGCTTAGAGATGGTTTCAGCACCACCTCTAGATATAGAAACCAAATTCCGAAACAGGAACATTCTATATATCATGGTTCTCTCTCAACCTGACAGTTGAGCCATCTTGGAGGGAGAGTCCATATTCCCCTATTTGATAGCTGAGAGAGAGAGAATTTAGCTGGGTCTCCACACAGCTAGGAAGAGACAGAGCCAGGACTGAAACTTTCATCTGCCTAACTTCAAATTCTGTGTTCTTCACATGCAAAACCATTTCTAAGTGAACAAGGACTCTAGACGGTCCTCATGCCAGAAGAATGCCAGGCTCGAGGCCAGACCAAGAGCTGTGGACATCCTGGGCAGATTCATAATTTGTATTCTTTGACAGTGTGCCACTTATTTGGAGGAGAGGCCGAATTGTGTGTGGAGCATGGGTGTGCCACTGGTGGTAGCACCCTGGCTTGCTCATGCCACTGAGTAGAACAAACAAGCCAGAGTTCAAGGACCATTCTCCTTACAAGGAGAACAGTGATTCCAAGCATTCCCCAACTCCCAACAACTTAGCAAAGTTGTCTTTCTAACATCATACAATGCTCTGCCTGAAAGGAGTGCTGGCATATTTTCCTCCATCACATTACATGTCCAATTATATTTTTAAAGCTCCTAATAGACTGATGACCTAGGTATGCCCAGCTGACAGCTTCCTTGATCACACACACACACAGATCTACTCAATCCTGCCTCTCCCTTAGGAGGTCTCTCTTTCCTCCAAGTCGTTCCCAGCCTCCCCAGTAACGTCTTCTTTCTTCTCCCATTCCCCCTAGCTGCTGCAAACCGTAATGACCCTGTGTTTGAAACCCTGCGCACTGGGGTGATCATGGCAAACAAGGAACGGAAGAAAGGACAAGCAGATAAGAAAAATGTGAGCACCA